GGGGGGGGGGGGGGGGGGGGGGGGGGGTGAGCGAGTGGGCTAATTAGCTTACAATGGATGACAATCTGAGGCCTGACGATAGTTCAAACCTGATCAATGTCTATACTCGAAAGATCTAAATGGAAATACATACTTGACTTCATCGAAGAGCATCCGAATGTCCTCCTCCTTCTCCAAGTCGGCCTTCAAGATAGTAGGCGGGGCAGGGCGGGAGAATCCCTGGCCAACAACCAACACGCCCGAGTGCTGGAAAGTGTTGAAAACAGCACGGCCAAGGAAGCCACTAGCTCCAGTAACAAGAACTGTAGATGTCATTTTGGATGTAGTTATGGGTTAAAGATGGAAGATGGTGGGATTTCTTTTTTTTCTGACGCGGGGCCAACTGTGACGTAACTGACTTCTTCCAGCTCTGGAGATGTGGATATAATAGTGAACCCACAATATCTAGGCAGCTAAACCCATATGGATTCAATCAATTCGATCAATTGCACTCGATTCTGTGTTTTATGCATGGTGTTAAGATACACGGACAGTTGAAGGTCGATTGGTGCAAGGGAGAGGAATATATGATATATAGCTAGGTATATGTATGGCTTTGATCATATTTGTTATATTTGTCAGTATTTACTATATCGGTATTATAGTATTAATTTGATCTCCCTCACTAAAAAATATAAACTGCTTTCAAAGACTATCTAAGCGTTGAATATAGAATGCCGAAAATCTCCGAGATCGAATCAAAATCGGCGAGGACCTGGGAGCTCTCGGAGGCAGATCGGAGCATCGGAGCATCTCCACTTGACATTCTAAAAATTGTTCCTCTTTTGTGTTGTAATTCAGCCATGTCTGGTGCCAGGAATATTACAGCTGCTTTGCGGCGGGCCCGAGTGCCTCGTCCCCGTTTTGCCATTCGCACCGTTCAATCTCTCACACCCTTGACTGCGCGCACCTTCAGCGCCAGCTCCACTCGCACCTCCGATTCCCGCCAGATCAAGTTCACCAGCGACGCCTACCCCAACCTCAAGCGCAACCCTAACTTCGCCGAGATCTCCGCTGAAGATGTCGCAAACTTCAAGGAGCTTTTGGGCTCCCAATCTGCCGTGATCGATGGCGTGACCACCGACGCGACGGACGATATCGAACCATTCAACAGCGACTGGATGCGCAAGTACCGTGGCCACACCCGGCTTGTTCTGAAGCCCCAGAATGCACAGGAGGTCAGCAAGGTGCTGAAATACTGCAACGAGCGCAAGTTGGCCGTCGTGCCGCAGGGTGGAAACACTGGTCTCGTTGGTGGCTCCGTGCCAGTCTTCGATGAGATCGTCATCAACACTTCGCGCATGAATCAGATCCGCTCTTTCGATGCCGCCTCCGGTGTGCTGGTCGCAGATGCTGGTGTCATCCTTGAGACTGCCGACCAGTATCTCGCCGAACGGGAGCACCTCTTCCCTCTGGACCTGGGTGCCAAGGGATCCTGCCACATCGGTGGAAATGTCTCCACCAACGCCGGTGGCCTGCGTCTCCTCCGCTACGGCAGTCTGCACGGTAGCGTGCTCGGCCTCGAGGCAGTCCTGCCGGACGGGACTATCGTGGATGCGCTGTCAACTCTACGCAAGAACAACACTGGCTACGATATCAAGCAGCTGTTTATTGGTTCCGAGGGCACCATTGGCCTCGTGACTGCTGTCTCTATTCAGTGTCCCCCGCGCCCCAAGGCGGTTAATGTGGCCTACTTCGGTCTTGAGAGCTTCGAGCAGGTCCAGCAGGCTTACCTCGCTGCCAAGGGCCAGCTCTCGGAGATTCTCTCCGCGTTCGAGCTGATGGACGGTCGCAGCCAGAAATTGGTCATTGAATCTACAGGCAACAAGCACCCTCTTGAGGGTGAGTATCCTTTCTACTGTCTGGTGGAGACTAGCGGTTCCAATGCCGAGCACGACATGGCCAAGCTGGAGTCGTTCTTGGAGAGCGTGATGGGCGACGGAATTGTCGCCGACGGTGTGCTAGCCCAGGATGAGACCCAATTCCAGGCCCTGTGGCGCTGGCGTGAGGGTATCACCGAGTCCCTGAGCCACTTGGGTGGCACCTACAAGTACGATGTGTCGATCCCATTGTCGGATCTGTACCTGCTTGTGGAGGACTGCAAGGCCCGCCTCACGGAGAAGGGGTTGGTTGGTGACGATGACTCTTTCCCTGTTCGTGCTGTTGTTGGTTACGGTCACATGGGTGACTCCAATCTGCACTTGAACGTTGCCGTGCGACAGTACAGCAAGGAAGTGGAGAAGGCGATCGAGCCGTGGGTGTATGAGTGGATTCAGAAGCGCCAGGGAAGTATCAGTGCCGAGCACGGACTTGGCGTTGCGAAGCGCGAGTTCATTGGTTATAGCCAGAACGAGACGATGGTGAAGTTGATGAAGCAGCTGAAGAACCTCTATGACCCGGTAAGTGGAGTTTCATTGCTATGTGTGAGCAATTGCTAACTTTCATCTTTAGAATGGCATCATGAACCCATACAAGTATATTTAGAGCGAGTTGCGTGTTGTATAGGGATTGTTGGAGCATAACAAAAGCCGTTTACCGACAGCAAGTAATAACCTTGGAATTAAATTATGTACATGCATGTACAATGCATGTACAATGCACAATCTCCAAGTAAAAGAAGTAAATGATAATCTTCCCAAGCTCTATTCGAGGTAAATCCGATCAGCTGAGTGGACCCCTTGCAGATATACCCCAGCTGATGCCTAAGGCCATCCGTTGCCATGTGAGACGGAGCTTGTTTGGGGATTTATGCTCCACCCCTTGCCCGCCACCCCCGATAGCCTCTTTACTCTCGTCTTGACCTCTCCCAAGTCCCGAGCTATTCATTCATTACTTGGATGAGCCCTGTCGACATTCCCTGTCTGACCGGAGTAGCTAGCTGGGCTAAATTACTGCACAATGGACGACATGGCAAGCCATTACCAGGTGATGGAGGAGTTAGGGAGTGAGTTGACCAAAGCTCTGTTATTTTTTTTTTTTTGGTTGCATTTCCGTCGGCTAACTGTGTTCTCCGTTTGCAGGTGGTAGTTTCGGAGTCGTTTACAAGGCCATTGACAGGACAGACGGAGAGATTGTGGCCATTAAACACGTACGCTTTCACCGATTTCGACCTTCGAGTTTCAATTTTCCACCTTTCGTTCGATTGTTGACCGCTTTTTCAGATCGATCTCGAGTCCAGCGAGGACGATATTCAGGAAATTCAACAGGAGATTTCTGTTTTGGCTACCTGCGCTAGCCCCTACGTTACACAATACAAGGCCAGTTTCCTTAAGGGGCACAAACTATGGATTGTTATGGAATACCTCGGAGGTGGCTCCTGTTTGGATTTGGTACGTTTTTCGCTGCTATTTTTATCATGAGGCACATCACTAACCGTCCTAGTTAAAACCTGGATGTTTTGACGAAGCCCATGTCGCCATCGTCTGCAGAGAACTCCTCCTGGGACTGGATTATCTGCACAATGAAGGCAAAATCCACCGTGACGTCAAAGCCGCCAATGTTCTCCTTTCTCAGTCCGGAAAGGTGAAGCTGGCGGACTTTGGTGTGGCCGCACAGCTGGTCAACATCAAGTCGCAGCGCAACACATTCGTCGGAACTCCATTCTGGATGGCACCGGAGGTCATCCAGCAGGCTGGATACGACTTCAAGGCAGACATCTGGTCCTTAGGTATCACAGCAATCGAGATGATCAACGGAGAACCCCCGCATGCCAGCACACACCCGATGAAGGTCCTGTTCCTGATTCCGAAGAACCCCGCCCCTCGCCTTGAAGGCCACGAGTACAGCAACACATTCAAAGACTTCGTTGCACAGTGTTTAACAAAGGACCCGGATCTTCGTCCCAGCGCAAAGGAGCTCCTGAGACACAAATTCATCCGGAACGCGGGCAAGGTTGAGTCACTCCAAGAACTGATTCATCGCAAGCAGGACTGGGATGGTGGCCGTGGTGAGGCGAGAGACATGAAATACTACGCCGAGTCTCTCAACACTATGACCAGGCCCGATGATCTTGATGAGGACGATTGGGTCTTTGACACAGTCAAGGCTCCTCCAATGTGGAAGCCCAAGGGCACAGATTGGATGACATTCGACGAGGAGGACGAAAACACACCTGATCCAGCCCAGATGCTCGAAGACATGCATATCAGTGCACCTCCACCGCCGCCTAAGCATCAAGCAAACTCCACCGTCCGCCGAGTCCCTACCGACCGATCTCCGTCTGTCAGACGGGCAAACACCAAGCGTCACTCTAGTGGCGTGAAACAACCCCTTGGTCTGGATTTAAGCTATGGCAACAGCCCGTCTACGGTTAGACAGTTCCGCCGGGTATCAGACAAAGTCCCCACCGATCTGAACCCAGCCAAGCAGGTATTTGATGAAAATCAGAGCCCGAAGATGGTGTCCACCCCCACCGACACTTCTAGCAAGGAGGCCCAGATTGGACGACGTGCATATAGCAAGGCAGTTGGAATGTCCTGCCAGGAAGTCCTGTCAACAACTGGAGATGGCGATAAACGGGAGGCAATCTCCAGACTCGCTGAAGCGTGGAGCGACCTGGAAATGGTCGATCCCGAAGGCCTCTACCACATCGTCAGGATCATGAACGAGAAGCTCCAAGCAGACGCCCGCCTCTCTACTCTCCTCCCATCCACACAACCCGATTCCCCCTCGCGACCCCGCCTCGTGCTGGCCCAAAACAACCCACACCTCAAAAGCCACCGTCGTCGCCAATCCTACGTCCCCGAACCCCAACCCCAGTCACCGCCATCCGTCCCCGCTCAAGCTGCACCCGGTATGGAGCACACCAAACAACTCTCCGACGTCCTCTACCAGCGATGGTCAGAGGGTCTCCGCAACCGCTGGGGTGGCGTCTAGTCACCCTTCAACCATCCTCAAGCTTCCAACATCAACCTCAACACATCCTACTACTCTTTCTTCCATTCGCTGTATAGACCCAATTTGGCGTTCTCACACTTGTACAACTCTTTGCCATTGGCTGCATCCTTGGTGTCCGTTCGTTCTTTACTGTCACTTACTCTGGTGGGACTGGTCCCGGAGTTACTAATGATCTGGTGTAATCTTTTTGCGCTTTCTTCTGTACTCTCTTTTTTTCGACAGAATGCTGCCTGTGCTTCTGTCTTTGTCTATTGGCCCTTGGTCTTTTGTGTGATTTTTTTTCTAGGTATTTTCCAGGAGTACTAGAACATACTATGTCTGAAATGTGATAAATGTCTTGATTTTTGCATCGCTTCGTACTTTTCTTCAATATATCTGTACCTCAAAGACTGAGGTGAAGGAAACCTTCACTATTCACTAGTCCTCGTACTCTCACTACCTTTTTCTATACGTTGTCGGATAGATTTATCCGGTGTAAACTCATCCAGCACTCTACAATAAGCACCAAGCTTCCCTTCCTCATAGCGTGTAAAACAACCGGACAAATTTTGATAATACAATGATCCCAGCATTGAAGACAGGCCATCATCATACCCCATCAGTTTCTCGGCCTCTACAACGCTTCGCACATACCTCTCTCGTTCCTCCCAGACCTTCCTTCTATCATCATCCAGCGGTTTCCCATCGGCACCATATTTCCACGGAAAATCCAGTGCAGGAGGAAGCTTTATAAGAAATGTCGGGAATTCCACCCTCTCCCAGGGAACCGTGCCTGCATTTTCCCAGTCAATAATAGACAGTACATTAAACTCGGCATCGACAATGATATTGCTATGCAGGAAATCGGTATGTCTCAGTGGGAAAGGCCCCTCATTTCGAACTGTGATTTCGAATCTCTGCTCTTTGATCCGTCGTGGGTAATCACCCGTCGAGGCGATGATCTCATCCGCATATTCTTCCGGTAGATGATCTCTCATCCATATTTCTGATTCCGGGAATTTGGTGTGCTCCCCCCATGCTGCAAAATACTCAGTTGCTGTGTCGAACGGTCCTCCTAGACCTGGTATTGCTTCAATTTCGTATGTGCCATCGTTGCGCTTGGCGACCATGCCGATTTTCGGGAACCGGATTGTTGACATGGCTGCCTGGTTTGCTTGTTAGACGGGCGGGGAATACGGTGGCTCTCAAATTTGCGATACTTGCATGGATGCGTGCTATTTCGTGGTAGAACTTGGCTTTGAATTGAGGAGGTATATGTACACTACCCGGCCCCGTAAAGTCCGTTCCTGTGTTTCCGGGAATGAACTCCATTATCATGAATGCACGACCGATAACGTCTGGGTTGGTCTCGTAGCCGTAGACTTCCGGGACGGGGACGTCTGTTTGTTCGTGGAGGATGGAGAGTGTGTGGATTTCATGGAGAAGTCGTTTCTCGAGTTCGCTGGTGAGTTTGTGCTGTTGAATCCGTGCTACCCATTTCGTGCCGTCGTCAAATTCAAGTATTCTGGCTAGATGGAGGCCACCCATATTGTATATTGGGGGGATGTGACAGGTTTTGGTTGTTGATCTCTCGATCTTGTTGTTTTTCAAGTTGATGGCAAATTCTTGGAGAGCGGTCCAGTTGATCTTTGGTACCTGGTTGTCACCTTCGATTTCTGTTTTTCAATTGAGGGTTTCCATGTTGTCATGACGTATACTTGGTGGAAAGATACACAGAGTGTGATGAGATGTGGAATTTTGGGACTGGGGACAGGTTTAGTTGGAATTCAGCGAAGCATATAGTAGGGCGATGTATCAGGCGCTGCAACTGCAACTAGCGGTGTGATGTATCTTCTGCCAGATTTATGGATGTGAAAATAAGCATAAAATACACTTCCAGAAAAAAAAAGGAACCCCATGGCTTTCAATCTCAGTACGAACCAGGTACATATATATGGAAACTTACATTTACATACCTAATAATCTCCCTATTATAAAATGATTGCAACTCCATATGTGTAGTTGCCAATTCCCAAGAGACACCAATATAGGTGTTTACCTACATGTATATATGGCCTAATTAAGAAGGTGGGTCTTTCCCTAGAACAGTCTCCACCTGTATCCTTGGAATATCCTTAGAATATCCATGGCTCACTGACATCCATGGATCTCGACTAGGGTAGGAACTTGGAGCTGAAACACTGGAGCATTTTATAACTCAACTACAAAGTATGTTTGCTACTCTTCCTCCTGTTAACCGAAGTCACCCCAAGAGCTTTGGGGCTCCGAAACCATGCAATTGTGTCAACATTCCCACCCGTGTTCTTCGCCTGCCGACCAAGATCAGCCGCCCTTCACATCTAGGATAATATTCAATCTCTCCGACGGTCTGGTATATGTAGGTCTTAGTGGATAAGCTATGCGCCGAATTTTCTCCAAATTAGCTGAACATGTCCAATCCAATCTAACAAAGATTGATCTGTCCTGCTGCTTTGCGAGATGATAATGATTGGGTTCTTTGAAGATTTAGCTAGGTAGATCGAACTGGGGAAATATTGTTTCATATTGCATGGGAAACAAGGTATATGACACTACATGACCGGCTCTTTCGTCTATTACCGTACATCTATTACCTTTCACCCCTTCCACCCAGGGTTTCCTCTTTCTCTCGCCATCGGACCAGGGAAAGGAAATGTTCCAGGCCAAACTTAAAACCAACGATGATCAGAGTCGACAAAGGGCCTTCGGGTAGTAGTCTTGAGAGCTAGAGGGAAGAGATGGATCTCTCGCTCGTGAGACAGCATCTAGAGACTACGGCTACTATTTAAGTGATGGGGTTGAAGAATAAGTTGAAGAAATACAGCTCAACTTTCACAACTTGCAAAAACTCCTTCATCGGATTTCTTCACCCCCACACCACACAATACCTATGTCTAGCACAAATTCCAGGAGCCATGAAGATATCACGGCTTTCTATAATGCTATTACTAGCACGGGAACCGCAGGTTTTGACCAGATGGACCTTACCGGCCGTATGTCTAAGAGAAGACGCAGGAGGAACCCAACAACGACATTCCCACTCGAAAGGGTAGCTCAAAAAAAGAAATATGCAAGTCAGTGCACCCCTGTATAGATCGATGCTTTGGTCTCTGGCAGCAATTAATACACGGACAGTAGTTGAGAATTCTTGACAAAAGATCCCTTGTTATCCTAGCGGAACCCAATTGTCGCAGGGACCACATCCAAGTCATAATATGGTATGCTCTTGAGATTTTTAGATGTTCCCCGGAGATTCTACTTTTAATCTTGTCTTCAAACATATAACATATGATCACACCGATGTGCATTCCCCTCTAATTCGCCTGTGTCCCATTCACCGGTCCTGATATAAAATACAGATTTGGATTCTGGGAAGAGTAGCGCATGGTTGATTTTGGATTGTATTCAAAGAATAATATGGAAGTTACGGAATATTACCGGAGATAGTTTTGGCTCTGAGGATCCTGTCCACATGATCACAGGGTCTAGTGCATTGATGATGGTGATAACATATGAATGGAATACATGTTGTCTGTAATTGTAATACTTATTGAAATGATCAATATATCTAACTTCCTTGGAGCCTACGGAGTAGTTGAATCACTACTGGTTTAATCTGACGTAAAATTTTGGGTACTAGAGCTTTACACGCTATCATCCATTCGGTCCTACCAAGGATACAAAAACAAAATACAAAAAAAAGAAATTGTTGTGCATCATCCGTGAATCGAACACGGGCCTCGTCGATGGCAACGACGAATTCTACCACTAGACCAATGATGCTGAGAAACCAAGTGGATCCGCAAGCTGATTCGCTGGTTATATCTTTGTACGTCGAATTTAAAATAAAGGCACCTGGGCAGCCCTGAACTCCAGCGTATATCTACATTTCTACAAGCTTACTCTAAACAATGTACCACAAATGTAGGAACCCCAATAATCAATTCATTGATAGATGTCTAACGTTATAATTGTCTCCCTACATTTCTTTCGAGTTGCATATTCAAAGAATCAATCGGCTCCGTGGCTTTTGAAAGAAATAAAGGATTCATCCTCATAAAAGGATACTAGCGTATATGTACGTAGGAGATATAGGATTTCTTTACTTTGGGCGTCAACCTGGCTCTTGGCTTTTGAAACCCACAAAGGAAGAACCCATGCAATACTACTACTAGTGTATACGTATGCAGTTGGCTTCATACTTTGAGCAATCTAAGCTGTGACCAAGTTGCCGCGCCTACAAATTGAAGACAGAACCCGTGGACCTGTTGTTTCGAAATGTCTCTTGTTCAACTCCACCTTCGGCGATTGTTTTAAATCCCAACGTTTCATAGTCATACACCGCGCTCATTAGCTCAGTGGTCACTTTACGCCATCATGAACTGCAACCAATCCCTAGATATCCTGGGTAAAGTTGAAGAGGAGGTATGGATACGCAGAATCGATCAAGCCCGTAAAGATGGGACGCTTTCTACTTGGGTCACAACATTGCTTCCAGGCCAAGCATCTTGTCATTTAGCTAGCTGGGCTATGAAGGGCTCCTACAACCACTGCCAAAAATTGTTCTCCGAGGATGGAACTGCATATGTGCTTCGTTTTCCTCTCGTTAGCGGCGTTTCTTCTGATTGCGCCGACGAAAAAGCGGTCATGGAATTAGAGGCTATTGATTTGACCCGAAAGAAAATCACTATACCTGTTCCAAAAGTTCACGCTTGGGGTCTTGCCAAGGCCAATCCCCTTGGACTTGGCCCGTTCATATTGATGGAATTCATTGAGGGTATTTATCTTGCAGACAAATTTTGGGGAAGGAATTAGAGATACTTCAGGAAGACATTCCGGATCGCGATGTCGAATTTATCCACAGATAGATAGCCAATTTCATGCTACAACTCTTCGCCATCGACCTTCCACATATTGGAAGTCTACCTACGCCAGTGACTGGTTTTCCTACTCCTATACGCCCGCTCACGAGGAAAGTGCACGATATTCTACATACTGGAGGAGTGAATACCTTTGGTTGGTTTATCTATCATCGGGTGATTACACTTCCACTACTAATTCAACTAACTCAGGTGACCGAACCGAGGGGTTTTCGACGACTAGCGAGTATTTTCACCATACCATCCACCAAGACCAACAACAGTTTCGAGACCAGCCTAATTCAGTCCTTGAGGAGGAGGAGGGGGAGTCGAATCTCGCCTCGCTGAAGATTCTGGAATTTATGATACCCGAGATAGTGAAAAAAGACTACGATCAAGGCCCATCAAATATGATTGTCAGGAGTCATGATGATCTCACAATTGTGGGAGTGGTGGACTTGGAATGGGTTTATGCAGGTCCAGCCCAGTTATTCGCTTCAGCACCTTGGTGGCTTCTTTTCGATCGGCCCACCGATGATAATTGGGATGTTGTGAATGGAGAGCCTCCCAAGGTAGCAACCCGTTATTTCAAACATCTTGAAAATTTCAAGCGCATCTTGGATGAAGAGGAGGGAAAAATACCAGAATCTCAGAAAGAATTTTCCAACCTCGTTACATGGTCCGAGGAATCGGGTGCCATGTGGCTCCATATGCTTGTGTCTAATGGGTTTTTTGGCTCGTCTACTTTCCCTTGCTTTCAGCTACAGCAAAACGTGGGTGTCGAAGAATGGGAAGAACAGATAGATGAGATTCTGGATCAGGAAGAGTCGATAGAACTTCTAGCAAAGAAGCCGGGCGAGCGGGAATTGTATTACAAGGAGCTGGAGAAGGTTGGGGAATGCAAACATTGGCTAGAATGCGAGGCCCTAACCAAGGAAGCGTTCATTGTTAGCGTCAGGAAATTGTTGGCAGAGGGACCTAGCGAGGAGATCGAGGAACCCAGTCTGTTGGATAGATGGGTGCGACCTTGGTTCTGAAAGAGCAAACAAGGAACACGGCTTGTTGATGCCCTCCAGCTTCACACCGAAAATGTCATTTTGTTCATGATAGTACCGTCAAAGGAGGTCTACTGAGTGGGAGACGTCAAAGTGCATGTGTGAAGAGATCTGAATTATTTAGGAAGCTAGTTTCTGGTGCTGAATATGGGATTCTAACAAACGGCTTTCAGTATCAACTTGTAGTTCAACGGGCCTTCAATTGAGTGGAGTTTGACCGAGTGGAGCTTCTATAATATGTAAATATACTTATACAGGGCCATAGATGGCATACAAGAAAAAAAGACTAGACTTGAGTGTTCTCGTCGGATACATGCTTACGTTCTCCCTCCATAGCCTTTGTCTTCTGGGACATCCACTCATGACGCAAGAGACCTAGAGCCGTTGGTCGATGATCGGGGTCCCATTGTAGCGCTTTTCGCATCCATTGCAAGAAGCCTTCCACATCCTCGCTGTCGACATTGCCAGCCGCTAGGCTCTCGAAACTTCGATCTGGTATGGGAGCTTGACCCGTCCAATTTCCTTCTTCGTCCCAGAACATGGAGCCTAGTCGCATCTTCTCGCGGAACCCTGGTGCAGGAGGGCCAATTAGAGAAACCAGCTCTGCGATGTGGGCCCTGTCATCAAAGGCTCCGTCTGAGTTTCGTCCGTCGATGAGCCCTTGGGAAATGGTATAATTCCATGCCTAGATAAACTATGTAAGCTTCTTTCTTGTGTCTCAAATTAAAATACTCACAACAATGGCAGTAGCCCAGATGTCTGCCCTGTGATCCGATTTCGATTTCAGAACCTGTTCAGGAGGCCTGCAATGCTTTTCCTCGATACCGGACATGTCTTCGTCAGGGAAGTCCAAACGGAGGGGAACGCCATCGCCGGGGAGTATCATTGGGGTGATAAGCTCGTCATTGCTAGGTCCAGCAACTCGCCTGTCGCCGGAATCAACGTTGAATGTTGCGTTTGGCATGATGCCTACTCTGGAATCAGTCATTCATCCTTCAAAAACGATGTCGAGGGACGATACGGGCAGTTAGGTAACAATCGGTGTGTAGAAAATCCATCATTATGAGCATTTGTTTCATAGTAGATCTCATCGACTCGAGATCCATCTTGTCACCCGAATGCATCTGTTCTGGGTCTAGTGAGGGTGCCTCGTGAACAACACAAATATGAGGGCCGCGAGGACCCTTGATGGGAAAACGATCGCTAACTTCGTGAAGAGGACACTCGCTTTGCTGGTATGTTTTTGGCGGGTGGACACGCCCATAAGTCTTGAGCATGTGGTCCACGACATAGATCTTTAAAACAACCATTCTAGGCTCCCTATTGTTGACTAAGAATTAGAGCAGTATCGTTCGGCTCAAATGACACACTTACACTAGATCAACAGCATACCAAACAGTCGCCGTGGGCCCATAGCCGATTTTGTGCATAATTCGGTACCTGTCATTCAGGGTTTCTTCCTCCTCGGCGGGATACGTGTATGTCTCGTTGGGCTCATATCCCACCGCAAGCTCATCCTCAATCTTAAGAGACGAATCCAGCAGCCCGAGATCAAAGACTGGGAAGACTCTCGGGTTGGACGTCCATTGTGATGAGTATTGACGCGACCAGGCTTTTCTTTGGTCAAAAGGGGAGATCAGCCGGTACGCGGAAATGGTCAGTTGGGAAGAAATCTTAGATCTATGGATAATGCTGAAATTGGAGCGAATACGCAGACCACACGCTCTCCAGTTCATGACGAAGACGCGGTAGTTGGCGAATGCGCGCTTGGCTACGGAGTAGGTGCGGTTGAGTGACGGATGACGGGTCACCCCTGCATATTCACGTCTATTTATATCTCGGGTCTTTTTCTTTTATCGCTTCCTCATCACTAGATGCGTATTGACTTCGTTTTTGTAAGGCAAAGAGGCCATCTTTTACTGTAAATGGAGAAATAAACAATCCATGGATTACCGTACCAATTCTTAGGTAGTGTGCAGCCGCTAAAGATAAGCTTAAACACCTCCCGAAGTCTCCTTTTGCCCGAGGACCCCACAACATTCGGTATCTCGCAGCGATGTGCCCCATCTGCTGTACTCAGGCTCTCACTAGCTATACACTAGTCTAGACATCTGACTGGAAGTTGCAATCTATTTGCGTAATCAGATACAATTAAAAGAGGGAGTGATTTTCAACACCCCCCCATGTATTCCGTGGGACTCGTCAAGTAGCTATGGAGCCCAAATGCTCAGCCACGACTTTGTCAAAGAACTTCCACGAGAAAGCCCGGTTTGATTTTGGTGTGGACCTATATGGACCTCAACAACCTTGGTAATGTTGATGTCTATATGTATAGGTGATGCACGGCCCTCCGCCCGCACTGTCTCGTGGGGGGCTACGGAGATGGTGGTCGAGAGGGCTGAGAGGAAGAGAAGAAGAAGAGAAGAGGAGGAATGGTCCCATTTTATACCCTCAGCTAACGTACCTTCCTGGAATGGGTACTTGACTACTTTCCTATTCTGTCTGACTTGATTGCACCTGCCTTGAAGTAGAACAAAGCACCCTGTTAGGTTGTTCTTTCCAATCTTAGTTATGTACTTCCCTACATGTACTTACTACCTAACTACGTACATATGTACACAAGTATATAGGTATATAACATTCCCATAGTTATCGATGAAGTCGCCTTTTGCAACCAGTCAACTGGTGTAAGTTGCCATCCTTGGCAAAAGCACAAGCTTACTACTCCGTAGAAGGCTACAGGAATAGATCATGACTCTATATACAACACATACAACATAATTTCCCATATGTCGATCTATACCTAAAGACCTAGATGCCAAGACCTCCACGAAACGGGCTTAATAAGACGCTAATATAACTCCCCCCTGAAACACAGCCCGTAGACTCGCGTGGGACCCGCTGTGGGCTGGACTCAGGAGACTTCGTCAGAGCTATTATTTTCTCCCCTTCTCAACTCTCCTCTGTTACTGTTCTTGTTCTTGTTATTGTTATTGCTTCTTTTTGTTTTGTTTTGTTTTTCTATGAATTTTTGAAATACCTTGATCTCTCCTACTGGCTGGTCCAAAATGGAGAGCCTTCCGGGAGCGGAGAGCCTCGTCCACGGTCCATTTCCGGATAACCAGAATTCCACTGTGCCACAACCACAACCGGACTCTGCTTCCGAGCAGTTCTCCCATTCCAATCTCTCACGTTCATCCTCTCTGGCCCAGAAAAGAATATCATCACTACCTCATGTCAAGACCGCCCGTCATGCCAAACGCCTCACCTTGAACTTCCCCATCAATCTGAACGAACCTGAGACACCCGATAACAACGTCACCTCACCCGGCCCCATAACTCCAGTCACACAGTCCTCAACTCGCCCCTCTCCCGCTCAGCCTCCGGGAACACCTATGGCATTTGATGTCCCGGATGATGGCTATGACTTCCTGCGGGCCATCGCCTCCCAGGAGCGGAAGGTCATGGAGCTTCGCGAGGAGCTCACTCGGGCCGAGGCAGACCTAGTGACAATTAAGAAGCAATGGGCACTGTCCGAAAAGTCTAGGAAGCGGGCGGAGATCAACCATGCGGAGCCGCTTGTCCCCCTCCGGTCGCCTGATTTCTCAACACCCGACGTTCCGAGTTCACACCGCCGGGAACAGAGCATAAGCTCAGTTACGAGTTCCACAGTCTCACAAGAACGGATGAGCCGGGATCTAGGCAGACGGTCTAGCGTGCGTGCTGCTGTCGCCACCCCACCAGGAACCAAGATTGGGAGTAATGGTCGGCGAGTGTTTCACGGCACACATACACGCACTTTGTCTCTCTTGTCGCCAGTTTCGGGTCCCAGTATTTCTTCCCGCGGAGAACCAGGTTTCTCAGATGCGGCCAGTGAACGCGTGGGTCGCACTCCGCGGTCTGCGACATTGCCATCGGTCGACCGCAATAATGCAGCTTTGATGAGTGCACAACTAGACGAGAGCCAAGTACCAGAACATCTACTCGCACAGTGGCAGAAGACTCTTCCTCCCCCTTCGCGAGAGGCCTTGGTGCGCACAGGCAAGCAAATGGCATCTGATCTCCGCGAGGGTCTATGGACATTTTTGGAAGATATCCGACAAGCTACGGTGGGCGAGGAAGGAATCAGCGGCACACAAACACGAACCTCACCATCCAACTCATTGGCACCACCAAATGGTCGCAAGCGGGATTCCTTAGCGGGTTCCCGGAGTCGCGAACGGCTGCTAGCGGACGGCAAGCTATCACGATCGTCGTCGTCGTCTTCGCGGGGGAGGGGGCCAGCGGCCGAGACAAAAACTGGTAAAGACACCAAGCCGGCGGAAATTTCCACATCTTTCTGGAACGAATTCGGCATTGATACACCCGCTCAGAAGTCTCCGAACGCTCCGCGCACCCCCTCCGACAAGAAAGCCGTCAACCGAAACGAGGCGAACGAAGCCGAACACCGCGGCCACCGCTCCAGTAATTCAATCGATGCGCAGGATGAAGATCTCGACAACTGGGATAGCTGGGACACGCCCCTATCCGCGCAGAAGACGCACACGCCCTCATCGAGCCGATCAACAGTTGCATCCAAACATGATCAGTCTCCCACCACACAGGGTAGCAGCCCTCGAACCAGCGCTAGGTACCGTTCGACCTTTTCTGACTTCATCTATGACAACCTCGTTATGCGCTGACCACGCTCCTAGCTTTGGCGATTTGAATCCGGCTTCCTCTGCACTAGATCCTAGTGTCTCTGAGGGCATTCCCTGGCCTGCAATTACCAAGCTTGCTCCATCGAAGCTTCAACGGACTGCTTCCAATCTGATGGCAGAATGGGAGCGCTCGCTGTCGCCTTCTTCAGAGCGAACTGCCTCTTCTTCGCTCACTCGCAAGGACAGCAAGAAGGACTAAGAGGGTTCTTTCTTTCCTTTCATGTAAATACTTGCTACCTCTTCTTCGGCCCTACCTCAAGAATTATGTAGGGCTACGACCTTCAAACTATACCATACGAGAGCGTTGCTTCTTCTTCTCTTGTCAATACATTGCCTATCCTTTGCTACTTTTGAAGTTTGTGCAGGCTTCAATTTACTTTCATGATTTGTTGAAATACAAGTTGATTTGATCACGATAAATGCTATTTTTGGTTCTTTAGGTTCATGAATACAACGAGTTTCCATTTTTTTTATTGCATATGTTCGTAGGGATTCACCCTGAACAACAGCTCTTCCAATCTTCCAAGGCTATTTGTTCAATGTTGTTCCTCCATCCATACAGTGTTGTCCCGATAACGGCACGATGATTTTGCGGAGCCGGGATATCACGTGCATGACTACGCTTTAGGCTTTTCTAGCTTCCCGTAAAATAAATTTGCGGTTCAGTTAGTCGCCTCCGCAAGATCTCCGCGTTCTATATTTTACTTGATCACGCGATTTCCTTTCTCGTCGAGGTCCAGTGGATTGATCATTCAGGCCGGCTTGGATCTAATCCAGCGAGTACGATATACGACCATATTTAATCTAAACCTCACCCGCGTCAACTTTCAACATGGCCTTTCCAGGTACAACAGGGACCGCAATCCCGATGACCTCCCTAGGAGGCAACCCAGGCACGCAGGGAATGAATGAGCAAGAACAAGCTATGGTCAAGATGGTTCGTCCTCGATTATGACTTGTATTTCATCCAATTCTAATGAACCTCGGTATAGATGCAACGTGGTATGGAGTCTTGCCCTATCAAGACAGTCATTTCGGGTACCATGGGTTTCGGTCTTGGTGGTGCTTTCGGTCTCTTCATGGCCAGTGTAAGTTGATAATTGAATAATCGATGTCGAAGTTGCATATCTAACATCTTCCCGCTCTAGATGTCCTACGACTCGACTTTCACACCCCAGGGCCGCGCCATCGCCGACCTCCCCTGGCGCGAACAAGTCCGCCGCGGTTTTAAGGATATGGGCGCCCGCTCCTGGTCCTCTGCTAAGAACTTCGGTATCGTCGGTGCGCTCTACTCTGGCACCGAGTGCTGCATCGAAGGCCTCCGCGCAAAGAACGATCTTACCAACAGCGTTGCCGCTGGTTGTGTCACCGGTGGTATTCTCGGCGCAAAGGCTGGTCCCCAGGCTGCTGCCTTCGGTTGCGCTGGTTTCGCGGCGTTCAGTGCGGCTATTGATGCCTACATGAGAATGCCCGGTGATGAGTAAACGATCCATTCGGATCCAACTTGAAAGCAAGACCTTGTTCCGTCCGGCTCTTTGGTTGCCAGGCGGCCTTACCTGGTTGCGCTTTTCGACCTGTACATTTCTACGGCATCTGGCGTTCTGGAATAGAACGGAAGCATTGCGGGCGTTTCGGTTGTTCTTATCTATTTTGCTGGGAGCATGGCTTTTCTGGCCTGTCTCCCCTGCGTTGCATGTCTCTTTTGACGCCTACATTGCATGGCCTCGTCATGGTGGTTCACTCCATATTTGATCCTTCTGGGTCAGACTCTTTACTCTTTTGTACAATACCAAGCGTGGACATACATACACCACTGGCCTTTTGAGACTCACCTCTCACAATTGATACCAAATTATTTTATGCTCATATTATATACTAAATTTTGAAACCATAGCTCATGTTCAGATCCGACTTGTGTTGAAACCACGCGACCTTCTCTACTAGACGGTATCCATGTCCGTCTCAAGCGCAAACTTAACATAATCAGTACTCAAGCACTATATATATACGCACATCCCATTGATTCCTTTTAGAGTTCCAAAGCTTGGACGAGAATACAGTTTGTTCAATTTATATACAGTCCTAAGGCAATACAATATACTTCTCCAGGTGCTTGGGAATGGAAGCACGCAGGTTCTTGCTCTCGAGCCAGGTGCTGGAGAACAAACGATCCGCATACCGATAAGCACCGTCACAGAGGATAGTAACAACAGTGTTACCCTTGCCCAACTTCTCGGCAACCTCCTTGGCGGCCACCACGTTCATCGCGGAACTAGCACCAAGGTACAGACCCTCCTCATCTAAACAGCGGTAAACCATCTCGATGGTCTTCTCGTCACTGATATTCACAGAGCCATCCAGCAAGTCAATATCGGGCTGAAGATTATCAGTCACACGGCCCTGGCCAATACCCTCAGTGATACTGCTGCCAGAGCGGTCGATCAATGTACCACCACTTTGGATGTAGCTGTGGAGAACACTGCCCGGAGGATCGGCGAGGAAGCTCTTGACACGTCCATCGCTGACAGTCTTCAGGTAGCGGGTGGTACCAGCCAGGGTACCTCCGGTTCCGGTGGCGCAAGTAAAGGCGTCGATCTTGCCCTCGGTCTGTGCCCAGATCTCGGGCCCGGTAGTGTCGATGTGTGCTTGACGGTTGGCAACATTGTCGAACTGGTTGGTCCAGACTGCGTTGTCCAATGACTCGGCGTGTCGGCGCGCCTGGTGGTTGTAGTTTTGGGGGTTGTCAAAGGCCACTGCGGGTACTGGGTATACTTCCGCACCCAGCAGACGGAGCAAGTCAATCTTGCCCTGAGACTGAGTGTTGGGCATATAGATCACTAGCTTGTAGCCCTTCGACCGGCACACATGCGCCAGCCCAATTCCGGTGTTTCCAGCTGTTCCTTCAACCACGGTACCACCGGGTTTCAAGAGTCCCTTCTCCTCCGCATCTTTGACTACGAAGAGCGCTGCGCGGTCTTTCACGCTACCTCCGGGGTTCTGGAATTCTGCCTTGCCAAGAACATTGCAGCCGGTCTGCTCAGAGAGCTTCTTCAATCGGATGAGCGGGGTGTTTCCAATCGCTGCAGTATCCAAGTCAGCTTACTAGTGTATGCAAGGGTGCTCGGAGCTAGACATACCCTCGGTCAATCCATTGACAACGCCCTGGGCAGTTGACACCCGGGTGCAGTATGCAGTGGACCCCTCCGCAGCAGCACGAGCTGCCGTAGTGGCAAATCGCCGGACACTTTGACGAAACATCCTAAATTGACTTGCAATGCGGGAACAAATGATCCCATCGACCCTCGGGGAATGACGAGCTCCCGCACCTCCGATGGTCGGCATTAGTCAGCTCACGTGCATCTACTACCCTTATCGGCTATCGTCCACCCGTTTTGGGCTGTTTGTTTACCGCCAAGGCCTCCACTCCTTTGATCGGTCCCGCAGTCTGCGATGCTTTTCGCCTCTGAATAATCAACGCTTAACAACAACACAACAATGCCTGGCAGAGTCGCCGCCCGTTCGACATCTGCGACGACACGCAGGTCGTCAGCACAGCCCTCTGCGTCTGGGCGTGCTGGCTCCGTTACTCCGTCGTTTGCGATCCCCGAAGAACCTACAGAGCCAGCATCATCCCCCACTTTGCGTCGCGATGTGTGTTTGCTCTTTGCGGATGCCCAGCGCTCGACTACCGGCCACCGAAAGCTCGTTGTGCGCCTGCGCAAGCTTCAAGAGTTTTGCTGTGGTATCTCACCAAAGAAGAATAATAAGGGAAAGGACCAAGAGCCTGAGGAGGCATTGATTCCTGGTGAGGAAACGGAGGCCGAAAAGGAATTCAACGTGGAAGTCGGCCGCTGCATGCTTCGGATTCTCACAATTAAGAAGAGCGAGCCTGTTGGAGACCGAATTTTACGCTTCTTGGGTACTTTCCTCGGTCATGCTGCGGAGAAAGATAATGAGATTTTTGCTTCGGGTGAAGACGAGGACCACAACCCCGAGACACCAACCGCGCGCCTCACATCGAGTCTTATTGCTCTGATGGGACCCGTCATGAGCGCCAAGGACAAGATGGTGCGCTTCCGCGCAACCCAAATTACCGCCCACATTGTGAACTCGCTGGAATCGATCGACGACGAGCTATACCATACGATAAGACAGGGTCTTCTAAGGCGTCTCCGTGATAAGGAGGCCTCCGTCCGAGTACAGGCGGTCCTAGGATTAGGACGTTTGGCGGGAGACGATGGAGAAGATGACGGCAACGACGACAACTCTGCTCTTCTTGAGAAGCTGATCGAAATTATGCAAAATGATACGAGCGCCGACGTTCGCAAAACACTTCTCACAAATCTCCCCCTCGCTCCGGTGACCCTTCCTTATCTTCTTGAGCGCGCTCGTGATCTGGATGCCCCTACCAGACGTGCATTGTACTCACGTCTCCTTCCTACCTTGGGCGATTTCCGTCATTTGTCTCTATCAATGAGAGAAAAGCTCCTTCGATGGGGTCTACGCGATCGTGATGAAAGTGTTCGCAAGGCTACGGCGAAATTGTTCTACGACAGATGGGTTGAGGATTGCGCTGGCACGAACAATGACCCGAATCAGGGGCCGACTGGCCAACGCTCCGCGCCCGACATCAACGCACTACTCGAACTTTTGGAGAGAATTGATGTTGTTAACTCTGGAATGGAAAGCGGAATTGCACATGAGGCAATGCGCGGGTTCTGGGAGGGTCGTGCGGACTACCGTGAAGCTGTTGTCTTCGATGAGCCTTTCTGGGAGAATCTTAACGGTGAATCCGCGTTCTTGCTCCGGTCCTTCAATGACTTCTGCCGCGTGGAGAATGAAGGCAAATATGACAGCCTAGCAGACGACAAGATGCCCGAGGTCACCGCGATGGCCTATTTCCTAGGCAAATACATCACTAATCTCTTGGGGCGAAAGAAGATCTCCAAAGAGTCGGGTGAAGCGAACGATGACGACGCTGTCGAGCACGAATTCGTTGTAGAACAATTGCTCCACATTGCCATCACTCTAGATTACAGCGACGAGGTTGGTCGACGAAAGATGTTCTCGCTCTTGCGAGAAACTTTGGCCGTGCCAGAACTCCCGGAAGAGAGCACGAAACTTGTCGTTGAAACACTCCGGTGTGTCTGCGGACCTGACACTGCAGCTGAAGCCGAATTTTGCAGTGTTGTTCTTGAGGCTATTGCTGAAGTTCACGACACCATCACCACAGAGGATAGCTTTGTTTCTGCAAGGTCTGAGATCAGCGATGATACTAGCAGACGCTCCGAAACTCCGGGGGATGAGGAGGTCACTCCCTTCAATAAGGAAGAGGCCAAGGCTAAGATTGTTCGCGAAATTGTTGTTAACATGAAGTGTCTGTATATTGCTCAGTGCATGTTGCAGAATGTCCAGGGCCACCTGCAGCAGAACATGAACCTGGTTACTATGCTGAATAATCTTGTGGTGCCCGCTGTTCGCAGCCACGAAGCCCCAATTAGAGAGCGTGGTCTCTTGTGCTTGGGCCTATGCTGTCTACTTGACAAGGTTAGTATATTCTCCTTTGATCAAAGACGAGGCTCGCTAATGATGAATTTACACAGAATTTGGCCGAAGAAAATATGACTCTCTTCATCCACTGTTATAGTAAGGGTCATGAGGCATTGCAGGTCACGGCTTTACAAATCCTCTGTGATATGATCACGACTCACCCATCCCTACTTGCTCCCGTTACCCAGGCTGATGGCGAGACCGTCACGCCACCTCCCATGCAGAAGCCTCTGCTCAAGGTTTTCGCCCGAGCTCTGCGTGCCAACTCTCCCAACAGCGTACAGTCCGGGGCAGCCGCCGCTCTCTGCAAGCTGCTACTCACCAACACATTCACTCCCTCTGGGCCGAATGTCCCACCCGCAATCCAGGAACACAATCAGAATGCTGTTGAATCTTTGTTGTTGTCCCTCGTGGTCTCCTTCTACCACCCACGCACTCGTGAAAACCCAGCACTACGACAGTCATTGGCTTATTTCTTCCCTGTATACTGCCATTCCCGCGTGGAAAACACGCAGCACATGCGCCGAGTGGCCGTACCAGTGATCCGTGCTGTAATGAATGCCGCGGAGGAGCACTACTCACTCGAGGCCGAGGAAGACAGTGATGGAGAAATTGATCCAAGCGTCGGCGAGCGCGAGGTCAAGGCTCTCATGACTGGTGTTATTGGTATGCTTTCTGAATGGACTGACGAACGCCGGGTCGTTGGCCTTGGCGGTGAACGAATTTTGGCTGGCGGTGCTGCAAGCTCCAACGTTTGTGGGTGGGTTCATCTCGCCCTAGTTAAGGAGATTCTCGAGCGTGTTCTCGGTGTCAGCGCTGCCGCCAATCGCTGCTCACGTGAGGAACGCAAGCTTCTCTTCTCCCTCCTCAGCAAGCTTTACTTTGCTGCTCCCACAGTTCCCGCACGAGCTAGCTCTCGTGCCCCCGAAGGCGATGATCAATTCCGAACTAGCATTCGCAGTGCTACGGGTGTCGAAATCGATCCCGAAAACACTGCCCTCGCGACCGAGGTTAAGGAGCTATTGGACCAAACCATTGAAGAGGGTCTCGCCGCTGAAGCCTCTAGCCGAAATGCTCTCGTCAAGGCCAAGAATGCTATCCTCAAGATCATTGCCGTCGCCCAGGATGGTCGCGCTGCTAGTGCTCGTCCCCGCGAAGGCACCGAAGAACCTGACAACGATGGAGCTAGTGTACGCTCTGGTAGTGTTCGTCGCTCTGTGGACCCTACTGGTGGTTACAGCCGCCGTCATTTCTCTGTTGAGCCCAGTATCATGGAGGAAGACGAAGGTGAGGGTGATAGCCGTCTTACTTCTGCCACTGCCAATCGCCCGATTGTCTCCATTGAACCCAGTATTATGGAAGAAGATGAAGAAGATGATCATGATACTAGTCGGGGGACGATAATCAAGGAAGAAACGGGTGATGAGTGATGATTGTTCCGAGGTTTGGTTGGCGTTGGTTGAAGTTAGGGGTTTGGGGTTAGGTTTCTGTACATAATTTCAGTGTCTGATTTTCTTGGAATACCTTTTGCATGAATGCCATTATGCGAGTTCTTCCTCATACATGCATGTTCAATATGTTCAATATATATCCACGTGATGGCCACGTGATGATATATTTTTGACAGCGGCAGAGAGACTTGATATTTGGAATGTCTATTTTCCCTATTTTCCCTATCTTGTTTATGTATCTTGTCTATATTTGTCTTAGTTGTGGTTATGTTTCACTGTATATCTACTCCGTACATGTGTCATACCTAGCAATTGCTTCTGCCTTTTGTGTACTACTTATTTGATATCCTACATGGGGCCATGTATCTAATAGTTCTAGAAGTCTCCAATCAACAACATTAGCCATTAGAAAGACAGAGATGCTAATTAATATTATATCTACTATATTAATGCTACTCTTCCTCGTTCCCCTAAATCCGAAAAGCCGTACTAAGACAGGGATCTGGGCCCGGTTGGGGTTGCACGGTCAAGACCAGTCCGAACACACAATTTCCAGGGGAATTTGAAGGATAGAAGTTTCGATGGAAGAGAGAGAAATAAAGAGGATTTAATTTCTTACTGTCTTTAAGAATAACATCTATATAATTCATTTTGTAATTGTATAATCTCCGTCTCCCTCCGTGAACCCCGAAACTTTTCATTTTCTCTCAAAACTCCACCGAGAGTTGGCTCTTTTCTTCTTCCCCCCCCCCCTTTCCCTTCTCTCCTCCCCCGGGCTTTCTCTTCGATTCTTACCACCCTCTTCTCCGGCCTTGTCTTTGTCTCCTGCTTTTCCCGCAGAGACATCTTCCCCCCATCTTCCCCCGGGATTCCCTTGCCGCTCCGTTGGCACCGGACAAGTCAGCGATGGCGGCCGTTTCAGCACCAACCCCCAAGCTGGATCGATACATCGTTATCCACGTTGCAACCACCTGTGACGAGCATGGCGTATATGTCACTAAAGACTCGGCTGAGGTCATTGAGTTAGGATGGATCCTGTTGGACACTAAGACCTGCGAGGAAGTCCGTTCCCCCCAACGTCCTTCTACCCAACATTCAATTTACTCCCGAGGCCAACCCGAAAGCTGACACCTTTTTTTCCCCAATTGTTTAGCTGCACCGTGAAAGTGTTCTCGTCAAGCCCGTCAATACCCCAATCACCCCGCTTTGCAGTAAGATCGCCTTGAAAACAACCTTGGATTTACATTGGGTTTTGCTAGGAATTAATTTGTGGCTGACAATTATCTAAAGCGAGCTTGACCACTTTGACATGGGAACACGTTCGCTCCGCAGGTACTTTCCGGGATGCCATCTCTCGATTCGACGCCTTCGCCCAGGAACACCTCACCAGCAAACACCTCGAGTTTGCTTTTGTGACGTTGGACTCGTGGGATCTGCGGGTGCAGTTGCCCCGCGAGGCCCGCGACAAGGCCGTCGTGCTGCCCGCATACCTGCAGCATTCCCGCACTTTCGACCTGCGAACTGAATATCAACGCTGGCAAACCCATCACCCCGAGTCGCTGCCTTTCGGTCCCAGCTCACTCTCCAACATCTGCGCTGCCCTCGAGGTCGAGCCCGTGCAGTCGTCCGCCCCGATTAAGCACAACCTTCCTTTCCACTTGCAAGCTTTGGCCCCCGCTTCCCCCCGCCGTGCTATGGAGGAATCGGTTACTCTCGCCCGTGTGCTTCGTGGTTTGATCCGCAAGTCGCAGCCGCCCCAGGAACACCCTGAGATCCTCACTCGTCCTATGGATGCTCATGCCGATGTTCGGGCCTTTTTGGCGGAACGGAGCAAGGTCCTTCACCTGAGTGGCCTGCCCCACGATACCACTCAGTCTGAATTGGAGAGCTGGTTCACCCAGTTCGGTGGTCGTCCCATCGCCTTCTGGACCCTGCGGACACCAGACCAGCACAAGCCCACTGGCACTGGCTTTGCCGTCTTCTCTTCGCACGAGGAGGTGAGTTTTTATTCTTGTTCTATGATACAGAACTTTCTATGATTTCTCCTTATGTTTCACCTGCTAACTGTTTACTAGGCTGCTGAGAGCCTGTGTATGAACGGCCGTGCGCTTAACGAGAAGGCGATTGAGGTATCTCCCTCTTCCAGTCGGGTTCTGGACCGCGCCGCTGAGATCCTCACTCCTTTCCCGCCCTCCAAGAACCGCCCCCGTCCTGGTGACTGGACTTGCCCGTCTTGCGGCTTCTCTAACTTCCAGCGCCGCACAGCATGCTTCCGCTGCTCGTTCCCTGCCATGGCGGCCGCACCCGACCCAATGAACTACGGAAACTACGGCTACGGCCCGCCATCAATGATGCCTCCTCACATGGGCCATGGTGGCGGTCACGGTATGGGTGGTGGTCACTCGCGTGGTATGGGTGGTAACGGTGGTGTTGTCCCCTTCCGCGCTGGTGACTGGAAGTGTGGTTCTGAGGGTTGTGGCTATCACAACTTTGCGAAGAACATCAACTGCCTACGCTGCGGTGCCCCTCGTTCGGGCGCTGCCGTCGTGGCAGACTCGGCATTCCCGTCACCGATGGATCCACCGTCGCAATTCAATATGGGGCCCAACTCGATGGCTAGCACTCCTGCCCCTGCTCCGTTCGCCTCCACTGCCGGTGGTTTCGGTGGTTTCAGCCAGCAGTTCGGTGGCCCGCCCAACAACTACGCTCTGCCCTCCGGTGGTTTGGGTAACAACACCCCCGGTGCGTACCCTCCCATGGGTCAGATGAACTCGGGATACGGCTCTTCCACCACCTCGCACTCGGCCGCCTCCTTCGCCAACCCAGCCACTCAGGCCGCTTTCACTGGTGCGGATCACGGTGTGCCCTCCACCAGTGCTTCGAACGGTGCCTTCTACGGTACCGATGGTGCCAGTGACCCCTTCGCCTTCTTGTCGAGTGGCCTTGGTGGTCTGACGGTGTCCGATGACCCCCACTCTCGTCGCAACGGCTCCGGTGCCAACAAGTCGCCCGCTTAAATATTGGTCTAGTTGTACCTACTTCACGCCCCACTCACGAACTGGGCGCTCACACTTATGTTGTCCATATTGCAATCCTGCATTGTGGCGGGTTTCTGCGTTGGTTGATATTCGTTGATACGCATTTGTATAAGGGATTCTGCGGTTTTGGTGCATCGGGTTGGAAGGAGCAGGCGGGTTAGCGTTGTCGAAGATTTTCGGATTTCTTTCTCTCGCCTTCGCCGCCCTGTGCTTTTTTGCGTGATGCTTTTTTATCGTTGGGTTTTTGGTCTGTTTTTGTTTTTTTTTTGTTTTTTGTCTTTTTTTTTTTTGTTCTTTGTTCTCACTTCTGGTTGTGGGAGCTGTTTTTTCCTCCATATTTGTGATTTCCATCTTGCGCTATATGGTTTTGTTATCTTTCGAGGGAAATAAGCCCCCTTGTAGGGGTGTGTGGTGCATGTATTTTTGAATGTTCCGGCCATCTCTGGTTTATTGTCTGCAGGCATGGACACATTTGCGTTGGGTTTGCCCTGCTTTTGGCATTGCATTTTAGATATTTTGTGGGCTCCCTTTCTGCACTCTTTGGTCATGGGAAGCGTCGGAGAATTCACGGTCTTGATCTGGGTGGGGATATACTGGGACTCCGTTTGGGGTGTTGGGGATTTACTTTGAAGCTTGGGCATCGAATCGAGGATCTCTTCGGGGTCGAAGCACTGTGAATGCAAAAAAATCATTGTGTCTATATATTTTTCATATGTATTCTCGTTATTTAGGTGGTTTGACTATATAAAATTCTAGTAGATTCGGTGGTTTTATATATATTCATGCGTGTTTACATCGCAAAGTCTTGTACGTGTATAGAGTTGTACTTTCTGAGTAGTTTCTAATGAATATAAGGCTGATTTAAGTCCTTGTCTTCCAAGGAAACACTATTCAATGTAATAATTCACATTCATTGACAGACTGTTGGAAAAATAAGTTAACTGTTAGGTACATGCAATTAGTATGGTGCATCCATACTTAACACAAGTACCTCGAAGGTTGGCCCTTGAGGCAGCCGTAGGCTTTCGCGTCCACCGCCCGGAACCCGTCATTGCTCCAACCCAATTGACCTCAGCTACTTGACACTCGTCTGCATTGCCCTTATTCTACCTCATTCCTTCTTTTAAACTTGTTATCTACACCAACCTTTCATCACCACTCATCCACACGTCCTTGATTCACAATGTCCGGATACGACCGAGCTCTTTCAGGTAAGCTAGCTCCCCACGTCCCAGCTCCCTTTGCTCCTGACCAGGACGAAAGCTGTATGATGCTAACTTATCGCAGTATTCAGGTATGTGGACTTCAGGCTACACTTCAGCTCCAGAGTCTGTTTTCTAACCCTCTCCCAAGTCCCGATGGACACGTCTTCCAGGTTGAATATGCCATGGAGGCTGTGAAGCGAGGTAAGATCTCCGTTATTTGCTTTCTAGAAGCTTTCGCTGCACCATTTTTTTGCCCTCGCTCCTATATTCTTCATCAAAAGACATATTTGCTGATGGTAGGCGATTCTAGGAACTTGCGCTGTTGGTGTCAAAGGCAAGGATATCGTCGTCCTCGGTTGCGAAAAGCGTTCCGCCCTCAAGCTTCAAGATACCCGCATTACTCCCTCCAAGATCGCCCTGGTGGATGACCATGTCTGTCTCGCCTTTGCTGGACTGAATGCCGATGCCCGCATCCTTATCGACAAGGCCCGCTTAGAGGCTCAGTCCCACCGCCTGACCGTTGAGGACCCCTCTAGCATCGAGTATATTACGAAATATATTGCGGGTGTTCAGCAGAGATACACACAGAGTGGTGGTGTACGTCCATTTGGTATCAGTACGCTGGTGGTTGGATTTGACAAGAATGACTCCACCCCGCGACTGTACCAGACCGAGCCGTCTGGAATCTACTCAGCCTGGTAGGTGTTTTCCGAGCTTACGTTTTAATATTGAATGAATGCTAATCATTCTTCTCTTGATACAGGAAAGCCAATGCTATCGGTCGTTCCAGCAAGACTGTCCGCGAATTCCTTGAGCGCAACCACCAGGAGGATATGGACCGTGAGCAGACAATCCAGCTGACCATCAAGTCTCTGCTTGAGGTTGTGCAGACAGGTGCTAAGAACATCGAGGTCGCCATCATGGCACCCGGTAAGACTCTTGAGATGCTCCCAGACGACCAGATTGAGTCGTACGTGAAGAGCATCGAAACCGAGAAGCAGGAGGAAGCGGCCAAGAAGAAGACCCGGACAGGGACCACCACGGCGGCTATCCTCACTCGACCGGGTGGCGGCGAGTCGACCGATTAAGTGCTAGACTTGGAAGGATCCAGAGCCTGAGGTGACTGGATTGTGGATTTGTTTCAATTTACAGTAGCGTTGGGTCTCTTCCTTGACGAGAATCCAAAATCATGAAGTTTAAAACACATCCCCCATTTTCTTTCGTATTGTATATTGTACACCAACGCAGAAAAGGGTATAGATGCAAAGGGAATTTCCATCTGCCTTGAACTCTTGCAAGAAACAGTAAATATCAAATCGTCAACATCATGAAATTGCGCCTGCCAGTTGTCTTTTCTCTCCAAAGTGCACAGCTTAGCCCATGCGGTCCGACACATCTCTGATATTGAAGAGGGAGCGCTCCTTGTCGCGCGCAACACGCTCGTCCTTGAGCATACTTGATATGGTCAGCATCCTGCCAATTAGAAGATCTTGTGAGCTCAACATACCGGCTGTCCATACGAGCATCCTCACCCTCTACGTGTAGTCGCGCCTCGGGCTCGCGTGCCTCGATGACAAAGTGATTATCACAGTGAGGGCAGTATTCGTCACTGGAATCAAAATTAGCCCGCTGCCACTTGGATTTTGAACCGTGCCTTGCATACGTCTCATCGAACTCGGCAGCGTCCTTGCGGAAACACTTCTTGCACTTCTTGCATGCGAAGATCTACCCCATGAAATGTCAGACTGCTAGACTTGCGCTAACCGGAGAATAGGGGCGTACCATCTCTGCGCTCTTCTCGAGATTGTGCGACTCGCTCTCTTGGTGGCATTCGGCACAGTCAAACCATTTTCGGCCTAGATCTCTTCGGTCAATCCCCTGTGATCAAATGCGAAGTCGATTCGAGCGTACAGCAGTGCGAGCGGATGGCCACTTGGGCGTTCAGAATGTGTTTACTGCAAAGCGGGGAGATTGTATTAGCTATCAGAATTTTGGACTAGGGGGATTGAGGGGATATCGAGTATGAACGTTCTCCAGAATACCACAAGAAGCAGACTTACCACATGTCTATGAAATGCGGAAGAAAAGTGACGGCCAAGTGCGAGATGACGATGCTCAAGTCCGAAGAAATGCAGACACAAAGTGATCGCCAACTCCCGTGATTCCCTCCACTTTCCTCCCCGCCACTCCATTTCATCGACCTTCGCCTTTCACCCCCTTTTACCCCCTGGATATCCCTCGGAATTCCTCGAACTCTTGACGGCCAAGCTCCGTCTTCTCTTACTGGGCCTTTGCGCCGCTTACGTTGTCCGCTCTCTCTATACTCCGAGCCCCACGATATCCCTGTAGCCTCTGTTCCGTACCCACGAACACCAACTCTACTGCCTCCGCGCCACTATTCAACCTCCAGGAGATATCTTCAAGTCTATGATCCATTACTCCAGCTGGTTTCGGCGACGGATCCGTGATAATGGCCATGGCGGGCACAGGAAAACAGCCGGACAACAATGATGATGCTCCTCCCACTGTATGCATACGTAACTGTTTTGTTGCACACAATGAACTAACATGAACACAGCCACAGAGACCAGTGTCCTCCTTGTTGTCTCATTTTGAGAATCTTTCTCACCGCAGGTCTCCCTCTGCTGCTGTAACTGCTAGCCCGCGCACTTCCACATCCCATTTACTGGCAACTCCGGAGCCTAGCGATGACCTCCGATCCTCTAGCCGTGCTTCGCTCGATTTGCCCCGGCCACATTCACCATGGACCCCCGCTGAGGATAGACCAAGCCCGCTTCAGCAATCGAATGGGGAGAACTCCCGGGATCGTGGGTTCTCCGGCAGACGATATGGCAGGCCCATCTCTATGAACTTCCACCGTTCATCGCCACAGCTACCACCGACCTTGACAGTGCAGTCGCCCCAATCGCCGCCGCGAGGACAAGATAGGGATGAAGTTTGGAATCCGCATGGTGACAGCCGCAAGACTCGGAGTCCAGGCCATCGCCCCCGAGAATCGATGTCCGTCTCGTCGGCACCACCCCGCCCGCTCTCCCCGATACCGAAGTTCGGACCATCCGTTAATGCAGGGGATACAATGCCTCGAGCGTCTCCTGGGTCTCTGCGTGTTCATCTCACTGGGAGCCCCGCGGATCGGAAATCCAAAAGCGCCTCGTTGCCACCCCCAGCTAACCGCGCATCAAAGCCCAAAATTCCGGCGAAACCGGCGATGTTTTCTCACCCGGACACCAGCTCGTTGACTCCTAGACCAGGACGAGTATCGCCAGATCGAAGTATTTCACCTTTTAGCACCCCTCCTGGTAGCCCAGAGAAGCAACGTATGGTTAAGCCCCAATCTACCGGGAAGAGCAGTGCTAGGCCAGCACCAGCTCGGCCAACGACGGAGCCACCCGCTCAGCGTTCATTTGACGAACGATCACCTGTTCCGTCTGCGACCGCCAGACATGACGCCAGAGAGATGGGATTCTCAAGGATCCGTCCTGGCCCAGAGCCCTCACGGTCCTCCAAGCCCTTGATGGTGCAGATTCCGTCTGCTCCTGTAGATGCTCCCGCGTCTGCTGCCACTGCCCCACCTCTTTCGGCGCAGAGATCCCGAGCCAGTGATATTCCTTACGACCGCCCAGGGCTTCCTCCTCGACCTTCTGGGGTTCCCCGCCGAACTGGAGTCTCCCCATCACGGGAGTCTTCCAGGAATGCAAACAGCTCTGCGCATATGACACCGATTGCTAGATCTGCACCTTCTTTCCCGCGTGCTAGCGAATCCTCAGCCCCCAAACCAATCCAGCGGCAGCCCTCTCTACCCCGTGAATCTCACCTTTCTTCTTCTCTTCCTGAGCGGCGGGTGGTCCGTACGGACACGGAGGAAGAAGAACCAATCGAAGAGACAGTTATCTCAAGGACCGACTATCCCGATGCCTCAAAAGCTAACCGTCGACCCCCACGCTTCAGAACTGGACCGCAAGATATCCTGACGAAGTATGATACCCGTTTGCTGGCTGTGTGCGGCAAGTATGTGTGCACAACTGGCTATTTGACTCGGGTGTGGGATCTTACAACTGGTGACCAAGTGATGAGTCTCAGCCATGGCGAGACCGTGAAAAGTTTATCTCTCGCTTTCAAGCCAGGGAAAGGACTTGAAGACGAGGGTGAGCGTATCTGGCTCGGTACCAGCGCTGGAGATCTACACGAAGTCGATATCCCGAGTCAATCTATCGTGGCCACCCGCGCATACCCCTCTCGCCGGGAAGTCATCCAAATCTTGCGGCACAAGAAAGAAATGTGGACGTTTGATGACGAAGGCCGGCTGCTTGTTTGGTTGCCAGACGAGACCGGCGCACCCAACTTGCTATACAGCTACCATAGCCCTTCCGAACGTGTAGCCCGAGGCCACACATTCTCCATGGTAGTTGATGACAAGCTATGGCTGGCAGCAGGGAAAGACGTTCATGTATATCGCCCTAATGCGCGGGATGATGTCACATTCAAGGTCTTTAAACGACCTCTCGGTCTCCAGCACTCAGGCGATGTGACTTCCGGTTCCTATACTACGCGAGATGGAGGTCGGGTATATTTAGGACACGCAGACGGCAAGGTTACTGTGTACTCCTCAACCGATTTTAGTTGCTTGGCGGTGGTCAACGTCAGTGTTTACAAAATCAACTGCCTTGGATTTGTTGGGGACTATCTTTGGGCTGCGTATAAAACTGGCATGATCTATGTCTACGATGTGTCTACCAACCCCTGGACCGTGAAGAAAGATTGGCGCGCACACGACAGTCCCGTATCTAGCTTTGTGTTAGACATGAGCAGCGTATGGACCATGAACCGACTACAGGTGACTTCTCTCGGAACTGATAATTGCATTCGCCTCTGGGACGGAATGCTCGAGGATGATTGGTTGGGTAAGTGAAAAAATTGCTTTCATCTGTTGATGGCTCCCACTAACATATAGTAGATGCGCGGATGCAGGCTAGAGACGTGGAGTTCTGCAAATTCCGAGAAATCAAGGCTGTCGTCTTGACTTGGAATGCGGGAGCTTCTACCCCCGGCAGTGTGCGAACGTCGGATTTCATCCGGAATGCGGTCACCCCTGAAGACCCGCCAGAGATCGTGGTATTTGGGTTCCAGGAATTGGTTGATCTTGAGAACAAGAAGATCACAGCTAGTAAGTCGTACCTTGTTATCTTTTTCTTTTGCCGGAATGTCCGCTGATATCGCCATAGAGAGCTTGCTGCTTGGCAGCAAAAAGAAAGAGAACGGTGAGAAGGAACACATGAGTCGTCAGTATCGAGTGTGGATCGATCATCTTACTCGTAGTCTTCACGAATGCATGCCCCTCGAGGAATCCTACGTTCTTTTGCATACCGCGAACATGGTGGGACTGTTCACATGCGTTTTTGTCAAACACAAGGAACGTCATAATATCACAAAAATCAGTGCTTCGGAGATTAAGCGCGGGATGGGCGGTTTACATGGAAACAAGGTTTGTGATGCCCCCGGTCTTTGCTATGGCTCTTATCTAACTGCAGCAGGGTGCCCTTGTCTTGCGCTTCGTCCTAGACGACAGCTCGATATGCTTTGTGAACTGCCATTTGGCGGCCGGCCAAACCCAAACCGCAAACCGAAACAACGATATTGCTGCGATCCTAGAAGCCGAGTCACTGCCTGCCGAAAATAGCATGACCTTGCGGACAGATCAGTTCGCCAGTGGGGGTGATGGCTCAATGATCATTGACCACGAAGTGTGCATTCTGAATGGAGATCTAAACTATCGAATCGACGCAATTCCTCGCAATGTGATCATCGATGCAGTTCGCCAGAACAACCTACCAAAACTCCTGGACAGAGACCAGCTACTTGCTTCTCGGCGGAAGAACCCCGGTTTCCGCCTGCGCGCCTTCATCGAGTCGCCCATCACCTTCGCTCCGACCTACAAGTATGACGTCGGCACGGACGATTACGACACCAGTGACAAGAAACGTTCTCCCGCCTGGTGCGACCGCATCCTTTACCGAGGCCTGGGCCGCGTCAAGCAGCTGGATTATCGACGACACGAGGTCCGCGCCTCCGACCACCGGCCGGTCAGTGCGGCGTTCAAAATTCGCGCTAAGACAGTCCTCAGTCAAGAACGGAACGCCACGTGGGATGCATGCAACAATGAATTCCAGGATGAGAAGCGCCGCTTGGCTTCTGAAGCTAGCATCGAGTATCTCATCACTGTCCTCGGGACAGATCCCCGCCAGGCCCGTACCTTGATCTTGGGAAAGCAATAGCCGCTTTCATGATCGTCTCTCTCTTTCTTCTTTCCAAGTGAAGCGTACTTCTTTTTAATATGCATTTGGGTGGAAGCATGGCGGTGTATATTGTACGACTAATGATTTTACGATAGATATGTATCATGATGGTTGTTAGAGCTAAAAAGTTTCCCAAGGTTCCTTTTATATCTGACCCTGTAGTATTCTTTCAAGGTAGATGCCATTCTTTTAACATTAATCTGCATTGAAGAGGCGAAGGGATTGGGCCACCAGAGATCTGATGTGACAGTATGTGGAAGGCTTCTTAAAATGCGCCACAATGTGATGATAGTGCCTGGTTATACATAGAGGTGTCTGTTGCACAAAGTATGCTTTTTTTTTTACCATCTAGCTAGAGACTAATATCTGAGAGCAATATTTCTAGTTTTACCGACACTTAAGTATTGTGTAGTTGTCTCCTCCTTTGCCTGTTTATGCTCATTGCACCACATTTATACTTGGATAGATCATACAAGCTCGGATTTCGAAAGCAATCTTTTTCAGCCAAGGCAACCCAAGTACATCGAGGTCCCAAAAGTACTTCCAAGGCCGCACATACATTATTAACCCTCAACACTAGGCCCCTGAAAAGCAGACCGGCGACAACAAACGTTCACGGCTCAAAGAGTATATTGTTCATGGTTGTTCAGGCAACTCAAAGAGCACAAGGGAACATTAGCAACAACAAAGACATAGAAACACAAGGGCCATGTTTAGACAATCTATAACAGGAACAGTGATAGTATCTAGTCAATTAGAACTTGCTGTTTGATTCTAGTCCAAGGGGATAGTCGAGGAACAAAGAAGGCGTTTGATATGAACCCAAGTATTTTTAGACTCTTTATTGGCTTTGATGCTGTATTGGCATTGTTCAGATTCCAAAGAATCAATACCTTTGTAAAAAAAAAGGAACTACATCGAGTATTTAAAAGTCTCGATGTCCCGGCACAATCCTTATTCTTCATCACACTTCACATCTACAATCACAGTATCAGTATTTACTACCATCAAACTCATTTAGACCAACTGACACAGTTTATCCAGAGACTATCCTACAGCAACTATGCCTGCCCATCACCATTGCAACGCTCATGCCGGTCTGCCCCGTGTTTGGCTGGGTTGGGGTGAGTTGGGCAACCGCAAGGCTCAACTCCAAGCCGACCAGAACGAGTAAGTGACAAAGAACATCCCCCCCTCCCCTCAATAAAAAGGACATATACTAACATTTTATTAGGTACTTCGAGACACATAACCCCGATTTCAAGCTGCGACACCCAGATACCGGCCGACGTAGCTGGAACGTGCACTTGGATGTCATTCGCAAGTCGACCCGTTGGATTGACTGGCGAATTCACAAGACTGGAGATAAGCAGAAGCTTGTTCTTCCTGATTTGGTACGTGCTGAGCAGGTTGACAGCCTCCTTAATTTCTTTTATACTGGTGACTATTCGGTTGACGAAGCCGATCTGAGATATTACTCGATTAGACCCTGCCCTGGTGCCTGCGTCACTTGTCCTCAGATCTGTCAGCTCTTGCGCATTCACTTGTCCATGTTTCAAACTGCTCTTCTTCTTAGAATTACTGACCTCCAGGCTATTGCGTTCCGCAGATTCCGTGATCTCATGGATACTGCCCCTGCTTTCGTTTTGCAGTATGCCGTTCATGCAGTCTATAGTAGGCGTCCTATTCCTGACGGCAGCAACAACTTTCAGATCACTGGGTTAAAGTCCGTCAAGGACTATCGCCCTGAGTTGGTGCTTCCTGCAGTTCTTAGGTATTGTGGGTATTACCGACTGAACCCTCAGCAGATCACACGACACGGGAAGAAGGTGAGGGTTTTCGGCGAGGCAGAGTTCACTGAGCTACGCCGCAAAAGCCCCAAGTTTGGTGGTGACCTGGCCCTGGGACTGTGGCTGGACACTGTTGATATCACAGTTCCGACGATTCAGTTCCCAGGTAACTCAGAACCCATCAGGTCCCTTCACCCCTACATGCAGACTCCACTCTCACCACAGGTGGTAGACCGCAGACGGTCAAACTATCAGTATGTTACTTACTTGCAGCCATTGCCCTTTAAGGATTTCAATGATCAGCGACCTTCTAACACACCTACATGGACCCCGTCCCCCCAGCGCACCTCCGCTGGGTCTTTTGCTACCCCACAGGCTTCATTGCAGCAGACCCCAAACGTTCCTCAATTAAGCCTAGAGCAGACACAGGAGCTTGACTTCCTTAACGCAGCTCTTACCGACACAACTATGGATCAAATTACTGCTCAACTACCGCAGGAGTATGCCACTGGCCCAGACGATTTAAATAATATTGACTGGACAAGCACGATGGACTGGAGCGGCGCAGATGTACCCGAGATTGACTTCAGCGCGCTTTTGAATGATGAGGTTATGGGTGAGCCAAATGTGAATGCATTGGATTTGACACAGGTAATGAACTGGACGGAAGAGGACCTGGCCAATGTGGACTTCACTCAGCTTTTGAATGATGGGACTATGGACCTGCAGTATTTCGATCCATCCTGCCTGGACCTGCCCATGAATATGGAGTTAGACGTACCGGATCTGAATTCTTTTGATATGGCGGGTCTGCCTGATATCGACTTCTCTGGACTGACCCAACAGGATTCTATCGAAAGTGCATTCTCGAACCAACCCCAGCACGTGGACTCGATCTTCTCCGGAGTTGATGACCATACCACCGTGCCTCCGAGAGCCAAGTCTCGTGCATCGGTTATATGTCAGAGTCAAGGCTCTCGTTCATCCTCTTCCCGTCTGAGTCAGGACTCCACTCAAACCCGGTACAATTTGAGGAGTCGTTCGAGCGTGATTGATTTGAGTGAGGAACTCTAGATTTATCCATCGATATCCATGGATGATGAACTCAGGTGAGTCATCTAATAACATTGCTATTAAGCAGTATTCGTTCTTTCCCCCCCTTTTTCTTTTGTCTGTATTTCTGCGCATATAGAATTGTCTTTTTCCATGTTATTTTTGGAGTATGTGTTTACAATAAAATTGTAAAAAAAAAAATATATATATATATAAAAGAGATATAAATCAGAGATAAACATATCATACAGTAGTAAAGCATCTATCGCTTTTACTTCCGTCTACAATAAATAGACACATACACTGGGTTTTAGGCCAGAACCTCTCGCCCGTCTAGGGATTGGTGGAGAAACCCATGAGCAATTTTCGCAGCCAGGGCGCAGTTTTCTCGCTGTTCAGGTGGTATATTCTCAATCTGATCGTTTTCGAGAAACTCAAGCAGAGCTTTCTTATTACTTATGAACTGAAATGGCGCCCCGATTTCTGCAGCCCTGCGTTCAATCTCACCTTCAACCTCCTGATCCTGCGGAACCGAAAGCGCGAGAGCTTGGTCTCTAAAGATTCCACTTTTATGCCATGCAATATGCTGTAGATTTCCCCCCAGATTTTCGACATGGTCCCTACTAATTTTTGTGATGGCAGTGATGGCAGGACGCTGAACGAAATTTGTCGCGTCGAATTGACCACCGCGATGGGCCTCGCAGATAACAACGTTGACGCCTTCTTCAATGAACATGTGGAACGCTACAATGGAGACTTGACGTCACGCAAAAATATCCATGGATTGTTGCTTGTGTTTATCTTCCTGCGCGTTTCCTACTGTAAATAACCGCAAAAATGATATTCTTCACCTTCGCCGGAACCCTGATCATGATCTTTAGCGATTAGTACAAATCCGAACTACGTAAAAGTTCATCACTCTAATCTCTATTCACATATCTTCGCACCTGTCTGGATGCAGCTCCTAGCACTGGAAATAGATTGAAAGAGCCGTCGATGACTCTGAGAGATTCTCAATGACAATAGCGGTTATGCAAAAGTCCCGACTCAGAAATAGGCTCGGAAGGAAAGCCTAATTCGAGCTTTCAATCTCAATCTCGTTTGGATTTCTATCATGTATATCAACTCAAACTTCGATTTTCAGTGGCCTTGGGTTTCATAGGCCACATAGACCCTGCCAATTTTCCAAACATAGAACGTGAAGTGTCGATATGTTCAATGCCTTGGCAAAGTTTCCAGAAATCCCCGGCTAGCAACCCTGGCGAGACGATAACCAATAGATTGGGTGGCATATTTCTAAAATGTAATCGGACATGAGTAAGACAGCTCCCATTATTTGATGGGAGAGCCCATTCAGCCAAGATGAGTCACAATAGCCGCGGGAGGATTCGGACTAAGCTACAGTGTCTTCCTCATTTGCAGATTGCCTGTCGGAAGATCTGACTTTTGCGAAATTTGCCGTTTTGGAGCTGTTTCTCCAACTTTTAATAGCCGGTGGGACAAAGGGCAGTGTCATTCCAATGCCAATGCACAGCCCTACGAGGGTCTTCTCGCGTGCAGTAGTAAAACGACGAACTTGATTGACGTAGCTTCGAGAGTGCTGTAGGTTCCTGATCAGACGAGGATATTTGATCTTCATAGGCTAATGAATGTTTAGTTAGAATGGACTTTACAACAACATGGGCAATGTTCTCACGGAGGAGGTAGACATGGCAGAGAAGAGACAGGCGCGGCTCCCACTTTGTACACTTTGGCTTTTTTTTTTTTCAAAAATGAAAAGTAAAAAAATCCAAAAAAAGAAAAACAAATGCAGCTACAATCTGAGATGGTCGGTAAAACTTAAATCATTCCCTCTCGAATAAGGATTTGTGAAATGAGGGATAGGTCCTTAAGGCCCAAGATATTCATGTGCCATATCGGCTAAATAGGCTATCACAACTCTTCTAGGCTAGTGTTATCTATTGAAAACACTATTACTTGAGACTACAAGCTACGACTTTAATATCGTCTATTGAGACGATATGGATACTGATCAATTCGCCGAATATATTTCCAGTCATAATTTATAACTTGATCATTGATCAGGACTGTCAAGCAGTCATGAACACAATGTTTTCCAATTTCATCCAGCTAAGCGATGGCAATGAGATGCCTTTAACTGGCTATGGTCTTTGGGATGTAGACGCAGCCATTTGTGCCGATCAGGTTTACGCCGCTATCAAAGAAGGCTATCGATGCTTTGATGGTGCGTGTGGTAAGCACTCCTTGTGTCGCATCATATTGGCCTATGCTAATTTAATATAACTTTATCAGACTACGGTAATGAAATGGAAGCCGGACTGGGTATCGCGCGTGCCATTCAAGACGGACTCGTTCAACGCAAGGAGCTGTTTATTGTGTCCAAACTCTGGTGTACATTTCATGACCCCGAGCATGTCAAAACCATTGCACAGAGACAGCTTTCGGATTGGGGGCTGGAGTACTTCAATTTATACCTGATACACTTTCCTGTTGCACTGGAATACGTCGATCCATCGAAGAGTTATCCTCCAGGATGGGCGGCTTCATCTGATCCCAATGTCAAAGATGTTACTTTTGCGCACATTCCAATGCACAAAACATGGGCGGCGATGGAGAATTTAGTTGAACAAGGGCTCACAAGGAGTATCGGTATCAGCAATTTTGACACCCAGCTGATCAATGATCTGTTCAGCTACGCGAGAATATCTCCCGCTGTACTGCAAATCGAGCATCACCCTTATCTTACTCAACCGCGCCTGGTAAACTATGCTCAAGCGCGGGGGATTGCGATCACAGCATACTGTTCTTTTGGCCCCCAGAGCGCTGTTGCAGCCAAACTGGCAAATGTTAGCAAGCTCGATTCCCTTCTGGATCATCAATTGATCAAGAAAATTTCGAGTGATCACGACAAGTCTCCATCTCAGGTACTGTTGCGTTGGGCTACACAACGTGGCATTGCTGTCATCCCAAAGAGTAAAAATCTCGAGCGTATGCGCCAGAATATGGACATGCAGTGGAACCTTGAAGACTCTGAAATCGAAGCTATTAGTGATTTGAATCAAGGGCTTAGGCTGAATGACCCAGTTCTAGTGAGTGAAGATAGCCTCATTGTGCAACCATAAGTTTCTGACTGATCATCATGATAGCATGGCTTCAACGTCCCGGTATTTTCCTAGCACCATCAATTATTCTGGTGGTTTCCAAGATTGGAGATGTTGTGCTATAATGAACTGATGTCACACACCTTCCAAGTTCATTCTGGGTGGACAAAAGATGTACAATCGGGAAGGATAACTTAGAATGCTTCGCATTCAAATCTCAACTCAAATAGATTTGATTTATGTCTATACTCTGGTCTAGAGATTAAGTGCCACTCTTCAATCTTTTCTCCTCTCCGGAGGTCTCTCCTCTCTCTCCTCTCTCTTCCCCTTTCCCTGCCTTTCCTTCCCTTCCCTTCCCTTCCCTTCCCTCTTCTATAGAGATTATCATACGGAGGAACCGACTTTTCTCGATTAGCTTCTATTAAAGATCACCTCCCCCCTCCTTTCAATATTTCAGTATATACCGCTTGAAGCCTTTCCTTCTTCCCGGGGTCACACATGTGAGGTTCAAGAGTTAAGTAGCTTTGAGTCTCTTTATTGTATGTTCATATTCTCTATGGGTCTTGAATAGTCAAACAATTCCAATCTCCCAAAACTAAAGCATTTGCTGATCCTTCCCAAGAGAAAGCATCTGTTCTTCCTTGCGATGAGAGGTGCCATCTATAATTGAGGTGACACGGTCGCCATCAGATAGCTCTTGGCTATCAATGATGTAGCTCTCTGGGTTTTGGTTGGGTGGTCGGAAGGCTTTTCTTCCCTCTAAGAGCCAAGTGACAGCCATGATCACCAAAAACACAATGACAATGAGAATAGTATAGTTCATGTTCAGTCTGGTCAAGGGGGCGGATTGGGGAATCTATATTCATGGATTTACATCAGTATCATCTTCACCTGGGCAGCGAATTCGAAATGTATGAAAACATACAAATGCAACAGAGAGAACAAGAAGGCTATAGCCGACAGCGACCACACAAATGGGGTAGGCGAAGTGACCAAGATTCCAGCGAGGGCTGTATGGGAGAAGTCTTCGGCCGGTTAGAAGCATGATTAGTGCAGGAGACCCTACACAATGATTAGGCTGTTTCCATGTCAAAAGTAAGAGATCAACTTACCGCAGCTCGAAATCATGAATACCGCCTGACTTCCAATTATAGCGTTGAAAGCTGAGCTGGAAAACAAATAGCTATTCGGAGTTAGTCTTTCTCTGTGAAATAATTTACAGCAGTCAATCGACTCACACTAATCCAATGAGGACTGTAATCAAATACGGGAGATGTATCGACCATACTGGAACCTGAAACCTAGGAGAGATCTCACAGAGCCTTTCAAATTTTGTCAGCTACCTTTGGTTTTGGCGATGTTTGAGAGGACTTCAGGGCAATCTCACTTCTCTTTCCAAAGCAAACCTCCATCTCGAGCAAAGGCATAACCTTGGCGGCTTACAGTCGTCGCACTAGCCACTGCAGAAGTACCGTTGTTGATTATCAAGATCAGACAAAAGATGATCGCTGCGGCATTGTTGCTTGTCGCTTGTCTCACGAGCTCTAATACGGGAACACTATTCATATCGTCAGTCTCAAATCCACATTCTCAAAATTTCGCGCATTTCTTACCCAGTAGAGGTGTAGATAATAGCCTGAAGATCATGGATGGAGAAACCCAGTACTAGAATCCATACAACTCCCAACATGGCTTGTGAAGTAATAGTAATCACCAAAATCCGCGGCATTATCCTTTTCGGAGAAGGTAACTCTTCCGCCAAGTGCGTTGGTCCATCGAGAGCCATGAGCGTAGTCATACTGTTATATAACCCAAGAAAAACGCTGAGAGAACCAGACGAGTATCTGCGGATTGTGAGTATCTTGTGTAAAGAAGATGTTTTCTGGATATCCTACCCTGTGTCGTTGTTGATGGTCTTGAAAAGACTTTCTGGGGTTGCCTTTGGTGCAACCACCAGTAACGCGACAGTGAATGCAATAAATCCGAGGGCAGTTGAGAGACCTATTCGAGAGTCAGTGAAGGGGTGAGATATTTCGAGCCACTATCTATATTAACTCACTTCCGAGCAATTCGAGTCCTGGAATTAATTTTACCCCGAAAACATTGACCAGCCAAGCCCACGTGGCAAAGCCCACATAAATGAGGAAGTTTTGCCATCTGGAAGACACGTCGAAATCCGGCGAGCAAAGATTGATCAGAGCCATAATCAATGTCGAGACAAACAAGCAGGCCCCAGCGTGTGTCATGATCCAGCCCAGATAATTGAACCACCCAAGAATGTAAGCACCACATCGCCTGTATTCATCTGGAAGGAGGAAGGTTCCGTAATGGTAAGCGCCGCCTATTTAAGTTCTGCTGTTAGAGAACAAGGCTTGTCGAGACATGATCGATATTTCTTACCGGCCGTGGAATATCTAGCAGAGCACTCTGCAAGCACCAGCATTATGCACAAAGCACCTATGCTGCACCCAATACTAGATAAACGCAAGGCGCCAATCAGTTTTGACTCGGAGTTTTTTAGATGAGAGAATGACGTACAATCCGTATAAGACAGTGGGCATCCCACCAGCGGAAAGACCAACAAAAAGGATAAATGACATTCCACCAAACACATTGATGGTGTTCCATCCTATACTCAGTCCGCTCCACAAGCCAAATGTCTTGGGGAGCTCATCCGAGGGTGTATTACCGACTGTGCGTGCCATCTTCGACCAGGAGCTCTTTCCATTAGCCACACAGCTGTAAAAAAAAAAGGGAAAATTGAGAATATGCGCGGCGATATGTTTAAAGTTTCTTGGGTCTCAATTGTTATTCAAGCAGGGTCAAGTACTCATGTTCTATCTTATAGTATTTTGAAATTCATGATTGGTGACTTATCGCGCCGTGAGCTCTGGAATGATATTCTAACAAACATTCAAACATCATACTTCAAACGTTGTAGCAGAGTTTGATACTAATCGGGTCGCAGCAGATAAAGAACTAAGCCCTATCGCATTCTCGAAGGGATTGCCTTTGATCGGTTAACTACACCAAATACGGCATAGACCAATTGTCAGATACTAGTTGCCCAGGTGTTATTGTAGCGTTACTAAGCATGCTTGTAAATGGGAATGTACTGATTAGTTACTCAAACAAAGTGAACCAAAGCAGTTTCTAATCATCATGCTGGGGAAACCCGATGCGGGCATTCAATTTGCCACTAAAGAGGAGATAAGACGAAGTCTATCATGGTACTCGCGAGATTACCTATGCATGTGTTATCGCTATGTCTCGTCGAATTTGAAGAAGGATTCAGTAGGTGCTGTGTCCTTCGGCACGTTCGTAACTGCATACTTTACGAAAGTCAGCGTAATCACAGAAGATGAGATATCGTCTGATTTCCTTGCTTCCTAGGGGCTGGGAGGACCACCCCTTACAGTGATGGACTTCGAAGTACAAAAGTGGCATCCGATACATAAATCTTATGAAGTCTAATGTACAGTACATATACACCTAGAACTCTCATGTCAATAACCGTGAGCTCATCGCCCGAAGCGATTATATTGACACCAGAGGGCACATTACTACCTCGGTCTGGGATTGGTTCAAACCCATGATCGTAGATAATACCCAGGTGACGACTCAGCCATCAGCCAGCCATTACAAGAATTTCGTTAAAATATAGTATGGTAATCATGAATAACAAAATCTCATATTCCACAATGGGAATTCGAATGCGTGAAATTTCATTCTCTGATAACAGACTAATCTAAGGAGGATAAGTACCAATCGCTTCAAAACAGTAGATTCTGACTGTCGAAGCAAAAAGACCGACCGGGGGAAAGAAAGAAGAGAGAGAGAGAGGGAGAGAGCTAACCTAGGGCAACATTCTCACAGTGGTGTGGGTAAATCAGAATATTGAATGTGATGAGTTTGCTACAAAGATCAAATCGCTCCGAGCCCCTACATCTCCAATGGCGGGGAATATTTTGATTTCTCAAAGGAAGTACACTTCATACTTACCCGGAGATATTGATAGACGAGAGCGTGCATGCTCATATGCAGGAATGTCCACAGCATCTGCTTACAGAGTCCATCGCTTGATGGCATAATGGGCATATTTTAGTGTATCATTGCCGAATCATACTTGAGAAGCCGGTGACAACCATGGAAATTGAAACTTGACCCCGGGACTGGAGAGTCAAGATATGAATCATGATATCGCATTGGAACCATTAGGGGATTAAAGTTAGCCCGTTCCTATCGGGTTGCTGTAATCTTCGCTGTGTGCTTTAAACCATATCCGAGCATCACACGAGAGGTACATTATTCTTAGAGCTGTCTGGACTATTCATCTTCCGCAGTCCCCGAAAATCATCTGAATGTCTCCAGTGGATTCTGTTGCGCCCAAGAAGCGGTCCCGAAGCGGTATGTATTCCCTATCTTTGAGCTCTCGTATCTGCCAGAAGCCGGAGCCCGACCCCTCGTTCCCGTCTTTCCTAGATTCTAGATCTCAGATCCTAGGCACCAGTCGTTAATGGTTACCTAGGCTGTCACACATGCCGTCGACGGCATCAAAAATGCGACGAGGGCAAGCCCGCCTGCTTTAACTGTCACTTGCGCGGGGTGCAATGTGAAGGCTATGGTATCACATTAACCGATTTTACAGCACAGAATAGCCAGAAAGGCCAGATGAGGGCAAAATTAAAGCGAGACGGCCCAGAAACTAATCTGCGCCAGAGCACAGCGACCAATATGTCAGATGTATCCCTGGATACTGACCTTCACAACATGGGATCTGTCTCCCAGCCCCCAGAAGAAGAGAATATATCGTTTCTCGAAGCGCTCAGCGCAGAAAGTCTCAACGGCAATTTTAGTACCCACTTTGATATGTCAATATCCTCGTCCGATTCGAATACGATCAACTGTGCTTCTGCGAACACCTGGGTGACGGATTATGATTTTCTGGATGAAAATGCAGAAATTCTCGACTCCTCGCTGCTTGGGTCATCCTGCGATCCATATTTATATCAAGCACCGGCAGATCGCTTTGATCAAACTCTCTTTTGCCACTGTGAGTTCATATTTAGCCAACACTTGGGCGTAATCCCCTTTCTCATCCTTCATGGAGTGATAAGAGATATCTATAAACTGGAAGTAGACTCCAGCTAAGTTCAGTTTTGCAGATATGGAGAATCTATCTTTGCAGCTATATCCAATCAAACTGGACAATAATCCTTACCGTAAAGTATACGGATCATTGGCGACCGAGTCACAGCTTGTGTTCAAAGCGATCTTGTTAGCCTCGGCTTTACATCTTTCAAAGCTGGGCAAGTTACCATCCTTTGCCGTCAAGCCTTACCGGTGGGCAATGCAACGTTCGTTTCGGGATTCCGTGCAAACGAAAAGCGCGGAGTGGAGTCTGGGAGCGACTGTTCTTCTTTCTATCATTTTCGATGTAAGTATTTCGAGCAGAATACCAACACGAGATACTCGACTGACGCACTTAGGTGATCGGTACTGGCACCGATAAATGGAGCTCGAAGCTCCTCGGATGTCGTCAGCTATTGGAACGGACGCTCTCAACTCGGGATGGTAACGTGGATGCAGGGCTCCGATGCTTGCTGCTGCAGTACAACTGGGCAGTCACGATGAGCAAAACAATGCTCAGAGGAGTGGTCTCTGAGGCTGTGTTCGACGAATTGAAATGTATCGACGAAAGTACGAGCCCCTAAAAAGCCCTTAAATCATGGGGTCGTTTGCTAATATGATCTGGTTGTTCTCACATAGTCACAGCGCTCAGAGATGTAGTTGCAGACGAGGACATGGCCCTCCACCAATCCCAGTGGTGGGATGATTTGCCTGACTATCAAATGCATTTATTCCTGCGCCAGGCCACGGAATATTCAATTACAATAGAGCAGCTGAAACTTTCCCCAGACAGCACAGACCAAATACTTCAGATGATGCCACACGTGGCTCAGCTTGTCAACAAGATACAAACTTGGAAGCCCAGGGCTGTGACGGTCCAGTCCAAATATATGGAGTCGATTCATTACTTTAACGAAATCTGGAGACTGGGCATGATATGTTTGGTCCATGGCGAGATATATGGCTTAGATTCGAGTGATCACTTCATTCAAACTTGCGTCGAGGATGCCCTTGATCATCTTCGGAAGCTGACTTGGTTACAGGCTTGTCTGTTTCCGTTGTTTATGATTTCTGTGCATGCACAAACCGCGATTGCACGCGCTGCCTTTGAGTCCAAGTTGAAGAAAATGCATGAGTCATCTGGATTTCAAAGTTTGTTGTCAGTCGCGTGTGTTCTCAAGACGATATGGGAACGGTCTGATGCCACTGTAGGAAGGAGGTTTAGATGGAGAGATGTCCTCAAAGATCTGAACATGGAGCTGAACATCTTACTGTGAAGTCTTGTGAAACAGAAATCGACATACACGGTGTAATGGTTAAAGGAGACATGCGGAGAACGGAAATGAAGAAAGCAAAACTGCAAGAGAGATCTTCACCGCCATCCCCCTCGGCTATTAGAAGGGCATAGGCCCAACAAACCCCAAAAGTTAATATCCTATATTAGTATCGACTGAGGTCATTTCTAGCCTTTGGAAAGTACTAGTACAACCACTGGGCCTACGACTGAAATCGGTTCGAGTCGGGGGAAGCATCGCACGGCGAGTTCAAATGATCAACGCGACAGAATATAGTGGGAAATTGCTTACGAAAAATCTTGGAAGATTGTGAAAACGAGAACACATAAACGATCTGGGCACGCCCAATGAGTTGTAAATCTACTTAATTTATATTGTGAAGGCCTTTTCACATATAATACTTCTGCGAATCAAAAGCTTTCGAGACTCCCAGGTCCTCTATTAAATCAGATCCACTGGGTGGTATCGAGACCAGTCACCCTTCACCTTCAAGAAGTCCAAAGGCTCCATATGCTCCACCGCGCCTCCATAAGGCCGACTGACGTAGTATCCAAGGAAGCGCTGAACTGCCGTAGGGTATTTCTCTGCAACCTCCCAGCGCACGGCAAGGTATTGGTTTTCTTCCTGGCGAAGGTATCCGGGGGTAGACGTAGCAGTCAAGAGGACACTCGTATGGACGGTCTTGTTGGCAGCGCGGCCGTAGAAGGTGGAACCGAGGCTATCATGAATCATTAGTTAGCAAGCTAGTATAATTGAGTTGAGTTGATGGGGCTTCTGAAGGTACCATAGTAGAGCGTCTCCTTTGCGAAGCTCAACAAGACATTCCTCCTCAGGTGTCGGGTCTCGCTTATCATTCCAATTATTGGAACCGATAACGATCCGGATCGCACCGTTGTCTTTTGTAACATCATTTGCTGCAAACATTATTCCCAGGTCCGATTCGCGTTTGGCGGGATGCGAAACATGGTGGCACTCGTCCTGTCGTCGAAGACCCCAGGCGACCGCTCCAGGCTCTGCCGACATAAGGGAGGTCTGAGAGACTTGGGGCTCGGAGATTGATACAGTTCGCTCCTGCTCATAGTAAACAATACAGGTGTCGGTGAGGATGCGGTTTGTTTGGTCGATGAAGAGGGGATTCATTAAGAGAGTTGTAGCGAAGGTGGAGTATGTCTGACCCTCCGGCACGGTTCCAATCTCTTCGAGAACATCGTCAATGGTTTCGCGGGTAGAAGCGCCCTCGATCACCACTACTCCATCCGCCCTGAGGTATTGGTGGACCACGTGAGGGTCGGCGAGTGCAGAGAAGCGCTTGAGAGTGGCAGGCATTGTGATAGATGAAGATTGGGATTCTGAGAATGATGAATACAATGAATGAAGGTTTCAGGCAGACCGAGATTCAAGATGGCATGCGGGATTGTGAAATATATGGTTCCCAAGGTGACCCATTAAACCCTTTGAACATCCTTCCGAGATCGGGACCATAGCCTATCTTCCTTGGAATTCTTCCAAAGTAAACAGTCGCAATGGGCTTATGATTCCAGAGTTGCAATGAAGTGATGCAATCAAGGAGGAATTGAAATCAAGATTTCAAGACGTTGAGATACCCGACGCGAGGCTAACGTTTCCTATTTGGGAAGAGGCCTCGGAACCTCTCTAAACTGACTACCATCATTAAATATAACCTTGGACCCATCAGCAATTTATCAAAATCATTCAACCAAGTGCTTTGAACTATCAGCAATCCAATATCCGATTTTCACTCTCACAAAATGCCCAACCCTCCTCACCAGGCCCACAACCCGCAAGTGGTGGAGCTTGACGCCTCAGCCCCCATCGAAGAGATCGTCAAAGTAATCCAACGCGATGGAGGAATTATTATCAAGAATTTCTTGAGCCCTGAGGTAATCGACCAAATCCACGCTGAGGCCCAGCCCTACTGGGGCAAGCTTGGAAAGTATGTCGGTAAGCTGTTTGATGCGGCGGATCCTCCTCTCAGTGGCTTTGCTGGCAAATCGTCTACCTTTGCTCATAAGGCAATCAATCACCCCACCTGGCGAGAAGTGTCCAAGGCTCTTTTAAAGGAAGAATCGTGAGTATCTGGCTTTTTCGAAGACACAAGACTCGCTCAATGCTGATTATCAATGAAGCAACGTGTATCACGATGGAAAGAGATATGATACAGTCTCATACCCAGTGCTAGCTGTTTCCGAGGCATTCAACCGCGGATCGCCTTCCACGGCTCAGCAGCTCCATCGCGATGATATGGCACAGCATTTCGATCACCTTGAGGGCAGTGGACAGAGTTCATTGCTAGGCCTTCTAGTTGCCGGTGTTGTAAGCAAAGCGACACATCTCTGGGGCCCCTATCAAACAAATGCTAATACACCGCTCTGCTTTAGGATACCGACTTCGAAAACGGTGCGACACAAGTTATTGTCGGCTCCCACAAGTGGCCCGAGGCCGCCATCTCCGGTGCCGCCGACCGATCTCTTTGCTCCACTTGCGAAATGAAGAAAGGTGACGCGGTATTCATCATTGGAAGCATCTGGCATGGTGCTGGCGAGAATAAGACGAACCCCCCGGAGCGCCGTATCATTTACTCCTGCCATATGACTCGTGGCTCGATGCGAGCCGACGAAAATCAATACTTGGCCATCGACTCGGATTTGCTTCAAACATATGAGCCTGAAGTTCAGGCTCTGATTGGTTATTCCGTCAGCCACCCGAATTGCGGCCATGTGGATGGGAAGGATCCTATCATGCTACTTGGAAGCAAGGAAGATCCCTTTGGATATGGAAGCTTCGGTGGTCAGCTTGCAGTTGCAGCGAGTGGTGTCTGAAAATGTTTGTGAAAAACTGAGATCACCTAGAGTTTCAGATCATGGCAGGTCTCAAAATTTTACATATCGAATCTAGCTTTCCCGGAAGAACATATTCTTTTTGAATGGAATCAATGTGTAGAAAAATCAATGAAGCTTTTGTACTTCCTGAGAACGTAAACAAGATGTAATGGTGTCTTTGTGAATAATAGGCTTCCACAGTTAATGGGCCATCCGAACTGAAAGGTTGTCAGCTTCTTAGAAACTGACATCCATATGAGATGAACAAATACCCTGACAAGCCTCAGTGCCGCGCTCACGCGCGGCCAAGAAGATGCTAATGGTTTCTAATAAACAGGAGTAGTTCACTATGTATTGACTTAATCTCATTTTTCGATTGATAACGGAAGAGAGCTATCATCGACTTCGGGGCCTCTTTTGAACTGTCTTTTTAGTTGTCTTTTGGGCTCTCCTTCCAACTAATCGTCGAGTAGAGGAAGTTTTGGCTAAGTCGTGAACAGAGAATTAGGGATTGGGGATTTTTTGTTGTCTACAAATGCATTTAGGATGACTGGATAAGTCTATTNTTTTTTTTTTTTTTTTTTTTTTTGGAACAAACCAAGAAAGATATCAAAAGGAAAAAAACATAAGACGGAGGTCTGCGGGCAGATACGCCGTAGATTTGGAGCGGCAAATAAAGGAGCCTTGCAAGAAATACCTATCGATATCACCTGGAACACTGTGCCATTCACACCCTAGACCATCCTGTGGGTTTCCCTCCAGAATGTTTCAATAATCGCAAGGTGCTCAAAAGTATATTGAGCCAGCACACTTGCCAAAAAAAAGTAGTTCATTTTAAAAGAACCTATCCTAATACCCGCGGCTCGCACAGTCAAAAACAGCAGGCGAAAACGCTATCGTGACGGCAATTCGGATAAGTTTCGCATAGTATCAGTGCCCAATCCATAGATATACATACAAGAGCATGGTATCTTAAAAGCCTGACACATTCAATTGGCTATCTTAGCCTATTCATTAGGTTCAGACGTGGTTTGATAACGGAAATTTACTCCTCTCCCTGCCGAATAGTACTGGCCAAATTATACATCGCAGTGCCAGTGCAAGCATACTCCTCCATAGAGTGTTCCCTGAAACAGCTATTAAATTCCAAATCCCCACCGCCTATAATTTTTCTCTACTGATTCCGTCATATATCGCCCCCGAATTGCCTATTACCTCTTCATATCAACTTTGCGCTCGAATCAGCCAGACGTTAAGACCTTTTGGTGCCAGCAATAAATCTCTAAAGATATGGGCCAATCTCGCAGGAACACGACAACAGAACCGGCTGTAGCAACAATACTAAGTCATGCAGCGGCCGCAGAGTCACATCAGCTTCAAGATCTCAATACCGAGATATCGCCAGTTCTGAGCCGATTAAAGCAGCTCTCAATTATCTCTATCATTCTATTGTGCAACTTGATTCAAGTAACTTTTCCCCGGAAAGTTGTATTCCTTCGAATTAACGGCTAATATCGAACAGTATGCCTCGCAGTTCTCAACAGTGGCTGGTGGGTATGAGTTTAGCGCTAGACTTGGCGTAGCAAATTCACCAGGCCAAATCAATTGGATGGCTGCTGCATACGGGTATGTAGACGTTTGATACGATTTCCTATATCTTTTTCAAGATACACAAGTTGACAAAAAATTGACATTCCTGACACAGGCTCACTCAAAGTTCCTTCGTTCTGATAAGTGGCCGACTAGGAGCTGTGTACGGCCATCAAAGATTGATGATAATAGGGGGGGCAATCCTCGTCATCTTCTCACTTTGCAATGCTTTCTGCACCAGTTATCTATCTTTCATTGCCATGAGAGCTTTGACTGGGGTTGGCGGTGGCATTCTGATGCCCAATGCCGTTGCCACACTCACAATCATGATGCCACCCGGCAAAGCTCGAAACTTCACTTTGGCTATCTTTGCAGCATCTCCACCAATTGGCGCCATGGTTGGTGCCTTGATTGCAGGTGCTGTTTTGAAATATACAGAATGGAAGTGGCACTTCATTATCTTGTAAGAGTCGAAATGTTTGAGTTTTTCCTGGACGTCATGCACTGTGAACACCCGTGGACATTACTCACATTTTGTAGATCGTGCCTTGCGACTGTTTCTTTCGGGGCTCTGTTATTTATTCTGCCTCGCGAAAAGCCAGTCGATGAAGACGGAAAGGTTGATTTTATAGGCGCGTTACTAGGACTGAGCGGACTTTTGCTATTTAGTGTGGCCTGGAAGTGAGCTCCCCGTCACCGAAACATTGAGATCCACTCTAATCAGCTATTGATTCTTAGCCAAGCACCCTCAGTTGGGTGGCAGACACCTGCGGTCATTGTCATACTGATTCTGTCGGTGATCTTAATACTCTTCTTCTTCGTGTGGGAAAGTCGATTTGCCATTGAGCCGATTATGCCACTGGGAGCCTTCAAAACACCGAGTTTTAATGCCTTGATCTTCGTCGTTCTATTCATCTACATGTCAATCGGGATTCTTTTGTGGTATATGGTTGCCTGGGAACAATTGATTAGAGACTGGACAGTTCTCCACATTGCGGTTGGCTGGATCCCATATGGATTGGGGGCCTCGATGGCTGTCACCATGGCTGCCTGGCTTGTCACCCTTCTAGAGGCACAGTACCTTCTCGCTCTGGGATGCTTGACTTCGTTTGCTGCTAGTGTGTTGTTGGCCACGATGCCGGAGCAGCAGCTTTATTGGGCTCAGGTCTTCCCGGCGACTGTTTTAGGCAGTCTGTGTCCTGATTTTGTTTTTGTGGCTGCGCAAATCATTGCTAGTAACAGCGTTGAGAAACACGAGCAGGGCGTGGCCAGTAGTCTCATTGGGACCTTGAATCTTTATGGTAACAGTCTGGGGCTTGGTTTTGCTGGTACAATTGAAGGGCAGGTGTCCAAAATGACCGATAGCAGAGTAGCGGGCTTCCGTGCTGCGATATGGTTTGGGGCTGGATTGGCGGTGGTGGCACTGGCTCTTGATTTGAGCTTCGTGAGGCTGCGTCATGAGGATCGTGAAGATTGGAATTCGCCTCAGCCCGTGGATCTTGAGGCCATGGAAGCAAGATGATCCGGTACAAGATGGGTGCAAATAGATCAAATCAACGATATGAACAAGCGCAACTGGTGGAGGAATACAGGTGTGGTAGAAGAATGTGCTTCGCTATGTATCACGAAATGGCTGTTTTTGTAGATCGTAAGAGTATTTCTCGATAACTTTGGGTGAACTACCACAACTGCCGCAACTGCCGGACACCCATTAAGCTTTTTCATGAATAGTTCCCAAGGTTGTCCTCATTCAAGCAGCGGTGGCCCGGCTGTGTAGTAGCTGCAAAGCAATAGAAGCAAAAGCCAAGCCAAGCAGAATAAAGCGCTCATCCAAGCCGTCCGCCAGCCTTCCAAACTCATCCCATCTGTCCCGCTCTTTCGGCCGTAGCCCCGGGAAGAAGGTATCTAACATTCTCCTGCCTACTTGCGGATGTGCCTGCTCCACCGCGAAGAGAGTGTTCATGAATTTCGCCTCACCAATCACATTCTCGAAATTAAGGGGCATCCCAAAAGCGGCGGGGTATCGCAGTGATCCTGCAACCAAAATATTCTCTAGGATTCCAATCCCTCTGATAACAAGTAAAACCCAGAAATGCTGCTTGACACTGGCAGCAACAACCAGCAGAGCCACCCAAAGGAAAGCTAGATCAAAAGAGCAATCTTGGTGAAACTGAAGGAGGCCGAAACATCCATCGCACTGGGTCCGGTTACCAGTGTCTTCGATATCCAAGCCTTTCTTATCCCCAATTATGACAATCGCATGTTGACCGCCGTTTCCTTTGGTGAGGATCACCGTATTTGTGGAATTGCGGCGACACGCCCATTTCTCTTTCGGCCGCTGTTGGAGACTTCCTGTAGTAAATTAAAGAATAATTCAGCTGCCGTGACCACAACAATGCTCCAATGGCCATCTAGCCCACAGGGGATCACCGTGGTGCCTAGTTGCAGTAACGTAATAGCAAACCCAAGGAAATAAAGCCAGCCATGCCCTGGGTGGCCGGGTTGCGTTTGACCAGCTGCTGGTAGATCGAAACACAGAGACCGCCACGGACAGGCTTTCGCACAGCTCCGCCGGACCCACGCTGGGCAGCCCTCCCCCCGTCATGTCTGGATATCTCCCATCGCTGCTCAAGCATGCGTCGCATATGCTCTTTGGTTCGGTTGTCCATCCAGACCTCGAAATCTCGCACGACCAAGGATGAAATTGTTGTTTTCGCGGACGTAGCCTGTGCACCCGTTGATCACCTTGCATGGATTGTCCGGTCAACTAAAATCGAATGTATGAAGATAGATTACCAATATTAATGATATACAATACCATACATGTTCTGCCCTACAAGCGGGTCCACGGGGTTTTGTTCCGCCCACGTGAAGCTACGCTGACTAATATTTGGACAGAGCCGCTCTGCCCAAACCGGAAACCACTCTCGGCGCTTACTGTCAATTAGCCCTAGAGGCCATAGATAAGGTGTGAGCTTATCCAATTGACTTGTTATAAAGGGTTACTTACCCCCCAAGATAAATTTATTAGTGTGTGATATAGTCAGTACTACAATACATCCATGGATATGTATGCATATGGATGTAGTACTGATGTATACCCCGGGATATCCGTTTGCAGTCTCAGTCCCCTCAGCCCTGAGTTACGACTCTTTAAATAGATGTGGGTACAAATTGAACCATTGCTATTCGTGCTATATGTACTATATGTACCTTTGTGAGATATCTGCTATGTTGACACATGTAACCATGGAAATCCACCCAGTCCACTACGTCAGAATATACCTGCCCTGTTATATTCTTCTTTCCTTCTGACCTGAACATTGCATATTGTCCATGTCCATTACCTACTGTACCTCTTTGTCCTTTTATATAAATATAAATACAATGCAATGAGGTGGTTCTCTTCCCCGCTTCGGGATTGCGCGTCCCCCCGCGATATTAGTGTCTCACGGTCGCGGGTCTTCATTTACCTCGGTCTAGCAGTCACTTTACTGCTTCTATCATATCAACTGATTCTAGACCGAGATCCGATCCTAAGCACAAGCTGGACGACTGTTCAGGGTATCATTGTGGCCGGCGATGTCGATCGCTTTGTTCCGGATCCTGTACAACCCGCCGAGAAGGAGTTGGTTCTCGCCGCCATGCAGGCTAGCAATATGTCCTGGGTCGAGGAACATCTGTCAGATTGGAAGGTGAATATCTATCGTGCTGATGCGAAACATGGAGACATTGGCTTGACTGTCCCGGTAAATAAGGGCAACGAGGCTATGGTATATCTGACGTATGTTCTTGATATTCCGACTTTTTCCATCCCAAGCTTGTGGCCATACTAATTACCCTCTTCACCATAGCTATATTATTGATCGCTACTGGTCACTTCCTGAAGTATCAGTCTTCGTACACGGCGGCCGCTACCAATGGCATGTCGATAACCCGCTCTACGACTCGGTCATCTCCATCTCCCATCTCAACCTCGACTTCGTCCAGGAGGCCGGTTACGTGAATCTCCGCTGCGCTTGGATCGTTGGCTGCCCTAGGGAACTTGAGCCCGCTCGTTATCTCCGCGAGAGACCAGATGACAAAGGGCATCCCACCGCGGTCGAGTATCCTGATCGGTTTATGGAGCTGTTTCCCCTAGCGGAGGTCCCCGAGGTTGTCGGGACGCCGTGTTGTAGTCAGTTTGCTTTGTCCAAGACGAAGATCCACGAGCAGAGTCTTGAACATTATGTTCGTTTGCAGCGGTGGTTGATGGAGACGGATCTGGATGCGGGCATCAGTGGACGTATTCTGGAGTATTCATGGCATAGTGGGTCTCTCATCTGCGCTGATCTCTGGATGGTCTCCTGCTAACCTTCGCCATTTACAGTGATCTTTGGAAAACCGGCTCAGTATTGTATCGACCAACGCGAATGTTATTGCCAGACATACGGTTATTGTAATATGACCGATAGCGATATCCAGAAGCAGTGGGTATGGCGCGGGTTACAGCTGCCAAAGGGATGGCCAGAACAGAGCGAAACCGAGGAATAGCCACGCATGTAAATCGCCCAATTATGCTTGAATGAAACTGAACATTTCCCTTAGAGACCTGACCTATGTACTCAAATCATCATTTCATGAAGCGCGGTCCTCATCCCGCTAGACGCACTTTTGACCCCGAGCCAAATGTCTCAAGATACTGACCATTCCACACAGTGAAATCCATCCATATATAAAAGCCTCATCGCCATATATCCTGTTTACTCGACCGCTTGGGGTGTCCCTGACTACTCATCGGTCGCTCTTCATCAGCTGGAACAGCCAAGAACCCACCGAACCCGTTCCCAACGAGCACGCTCTTGCGAGCATCGCCGCCCCAGGATCGGTTCAGCTGGGCCTCGTGGAAGCTCACGGGGCGCGTGGTTGAGTCGCGGCGTCCTCGGGCCGCCGGGCTGGGGTCGTACGGTGTGAAATTCCACTCGAACTCATCCAGACCCTTGCTATACACGTTCAGTGGCTGCGAAAGACCGCCCCGCATCTGCGGACCGTTTTCACCACCGCCGAGGAGTCGGGGTGGGGGCATGAGTAACAGTGTGTCCGGGAATGAGGAATCACGGACATACAAGTCTCGAAGGGCTGGTAAGGTTCGGGACACCAAGGACGAAATAAGATAGGTGTAGTATGAGGATACCACTGGTGGCATTCCGTGGTTATCGGTTTGGGACGTGAGTTCATAGTGCAGGAGATTCAGCGACCTCGATGCCATGGGAGGAATCTGCTCCATGGGGAATGAGCGAGACACCTCCTGGATGACAGAAAGGCTCTCGAGGCGCGGAGCGGCGGAAAGAATATAATGTAGTTGCGACGGCGCAACGCCGGTAGAAGATAATATCAAAGATCCCAAAGTCGCTCGATTCGCTGGCATGGAAAGGAACGCGGCAAGCCCGCTCGCCGTGACATTAGGGGTATCGCGAAGTGTAAGAGACTGAACCGATGGGAATGGCGGCAGAGGCACGTTCACTGCAAATGCAGAATCGTCAAGCCAATCGAGATCTTCGAGTGTGAGCTCACGGAGATGGGGGAATGAACCGAGTCCGGCGCGCAAAGTGCTGGCCTCCATGTGAACTCCAGATAGCTCCAGCACCTCCAAATTCATCCATAGCTGGGATCCCGGCAGACGTGCGAAACTGCCCTCTGCACCTTGACGATATGCCATCCGACGCAACTCCGGGCACCGGGCCATCAACTCCTGTTTCAAGGATAGACACGATGCCTCGTCGCTGTACAAACCCACCGGCAGGTCAACAAAGCGGAGATTAGGAAGGACGGAGATAGTTCGGGCCACGTTGGCTTTGTTAGCCTCGCGGGTCATGTATGGCATTCGGAGAGATAACACCATATTCCCTAGCCCCTGGGACTCTCGCACCGTTCGCATGAACAGTTCTAGACGGACTTGCGGGGCATCGATGGGATCGCCATTGCGGTTCAAGAACGAGCGGCGTTTTCGCTTGGCGGCTAATTCAATTTCGAGTTCGCAGTAATGAACGGGGTCGATTCGGACGTTGGTATAACTATAGGTAGACTGGTGTTAGTTTCGCACTTGTCAAAAGAGCCGGGGGATCTCGTACAGAAGCGCCCGCGCATCCAAAAACCACCTCTTGCTCACTAGGGTGCAATGTGCCAGGTCGCGCATGTCGCATAGCATACAGCCATCGCTGGCCGATTCCTCGGAGGTGCCATATGTGTTATCGGTAGAGTGAGGACAAACAAAAGAGAAAATGTGTGCCAATACTGGCCGAGGTAGCTGTTTGGTGTAATCTCGGGCGGGCACGTTAACGCGGGGCGATGGCGGGTCGGTCGTTTCCCGGTCACTTCGCCTTGAGCTTCGTCGTGAGCTTCGCCGCAGCTTGTCAAAAAGGCCCATTCTGGAAGGATATGGGAGAATGTGAGTGTTCAAGAGGGGGAGATGACAGGGACAAAGCGCCATGCAGGGTCATAGTCTTCCCCCCCTTCCAGCCCCCAGCCACTAACATGAAACACCCACGGGGGTGTTTTGGTCTAAGGGGTTTCATCACATCTACTCCGTATTAATATCTTGCAGATCTTCTGAAAGACATTGAAGACATGTGACACGGAATGACTTTTCATGCGTCAAATATTATGGAGGAAGACGACCTGGGAATCTAAAAGTCGTGACATTCAAATGATGAAGAATGCCTATGACATCAATTGGGTCAACAGCGTCATTTTAGAACAATCCCTGAAATCCTGTGGAATAATTATGGACATTGGACATTCATCCTGGATTGGAGCCATATATGATTGGTCATTGACTGACATCATCGTGGTTCTTGTCTATGTATTCCTGGAGACCGGGGGGACTAGGAACAAGGAAAAACAACACTTCAACCAAACTCAAATCACATACAGCCTGAACCACACATCATGGCTGAAATAAATCGCAACTTCATCGATCCTCTTCCCTGGCCGGCACATACCAACACGCTCCCAGAATCCACACCCGAAGGACACTGGAAGCACCTTCCACCATACGAAGTGCAATCTGAAGAGCAATTCGGCCCAATCAAATGGCGTGGAAAGTGTTTCTGTGGAAAGATCACCTATCTCTTGAAGCGAGAGAAACCACTCAATGCCAAATACTGCCATTGTCGCGTGTGCCAGGTTACCCATGGAGCTCCCCTTCAGTGGGCGGCAATTTTCCACAAGGACGATATCTCATTCACCAAGGGCGCGAGCGATTTGGTATTTTATTCTTCTACACATGAAAGTCAGGACCATGTGTTGCCTACCAAGGTGTCCTGTGCAAATTGCCGGACACCGATCATGGATGAAGGCCGGAATATGTGTTTGATCTTCCCTCAATTGATTGAGCTCGAGGGATCTAGCCATGAGCGAAGAGAGAAGAGGGAGGCTTTTAAGCCGACGTATGTGTATGTTCTACTACTCCATGAGTATAACTAATGATCTTAGTAGATGTCATATCTTCTACAGGTCACGCACCCTAGATCTTCCCGACGGTCTCCCCAAGTGGAGCGGAATGGAGAATGCCAGTGACCAGATGGACGACCACGGTAACCGGATCGGGAATTTGTGAGGCATACTCTGACAGTATCATAATGGACTGGATGTTACAACCAAAGGGACCTTTCAATGGAATAGAAAAAATTGTATAGCTGTATGTGTATGTACAATGTTCCATCCAACCTTGTAGTAACCGCTATGATGCCTTACACACACCAGACTGCACTGACACCGGGTCACTAGTTGCACTACCCCAATCAGCAGCCCCAATAACCTTACCAGCCTCCGTACTATCATCGGCTCGGATCTAACAGGGCATGAGTATTTTCTCGGCTTGCAAACGAATAAACTTACATAGTACTGTGGCTCGACAAAGTGCCACCAATCATCGCTCCGGAATGCATTATCCAGTGACTGACTCGCCGGGTCGTTCCACCCGGTATTGCGAGTATCAAAGTGAGCATGCTTCGACCACGACACATACACCTTGGGATGGTCATTGTTCTTTACACCGTTCGGAGTTTTGGCATTTCCAGCGTTGACCTCATCCGTCGTTAGGGTGTTTTGGATATCACCCCAGGCCAGATTGTGATACCCGCTATGCGCAGAGAGCAGAGCGCGCGATGGTGCCCACATGTTGCTGTCATCCCGAGAGTGGACGATCACTACCCGTTCCCAGTCGCTGGAACAGATGTTAGAGGTGGGCTCACCAAGTGGCATTTCACTACACCGAAGAATAGACCACCTACTAGTCATGCCCGGTGTCGATGCCAATAAACTCTGCGCCGTCTTTCTCATAAAAGAGATTGTACACGACGCGCACCTCGGTATCGCTGCATTTCTGGTATGTATAATAAATGGGAAATGCAGGCCCTGCATTCCCGATACTAACGCCAGGGTTGCGGCAATGGCACCCAACGTCTGGGTAATCGCACTGAGGTGCGGCTGGTGTCCTGTGGGCATCGTCATATACATCCGCCGTGTTTGGTGATCCGCCATACGTCCAGGTTGGATAGCAGGGTGGCTGATTCAGCGCTTGGCCAAAGAACCATATGGGCGCGTAGCGGTCCGCTAGATCTACGCCGCCTGCATCCAAGAGTGCGCCCATCTCACCGTCTGTTATCTGTGAGAGAGCTGCCACATGGCTGGCGACCAGGACTGCCAATCTAGCTCCTAGCTTTAGGTGCATGGTTGGACTTTTTCGAATTTTATGGGATTGCGACAGTGATTTGACATTTGATGTGGAACATCTCACTGATTAAATATAGACATGGAGAAAGTATAGCTGGGAATTTCACCAGCCCACCTATTTCCAAAAAGGGGAATGAGCTGTTAAGGGTCACATCGTGGCATGCGGGCCTGCATTAGCCCCGGAGTCCCCGGGATATCCCGCACGTGTGTGCTGTAGATTATCACAGTCGTCAAGCTGCTTGCTTACGCCACTAGCACCCTTCAACCATTCCCCGCTCACCTCATTCTCTGGTTCATCACCCAATGACATGCGTTGTCGCTGACGGCCTCCCCTGGGCACTTTCCCCATTACCCCTCCTTTTAACTGGTTGAATGAGGCCGGACATATCTAATCATACTCTTTCACTTCAAACAGTACTTCAAACAGTACAATGATCATTCCAGAGCCCGTTAATCATACCACTTGTACACAATATCTGACCCAGGTCAGTACATCATGGATTATGCTTTGAAATGGAACCGGCTAGATTGATGAACCATTTTCCCTGCTTGGTCGTCCGTGGCGTTTGTAAATATTCCGACTCGCACAAAAGCAAGGAATGGCAAGGCTATGCTGCAATGGTGGCGGCTGCATATGCGAGAGATCTATCGGATTATTCCTCAGAGGGTAAAGGCTGAACGAAAGGCCAGTGAAGCTCTGGATGATTAGTGGCTAGGTGCCTTCTCACCAAATAGTCAGTTTCTGGCATTTGGATCTCATACGGGTACCATGCTCTGGGATATTACTGCAGGCACCCTGAAGTGTACCATGAAGAGCCATTTAGTTGTGGTTGTGTCACTTGCCTTACATCAGATAGCCGCCTACTAGTATTCAGCTCTTATGGTCGGGCCATTAAGCTCTGGGATACTATCACTTCCACCCTCAAGTATACCATATAGGGTTATTCAAAGTCGGCCGAGATAGCAGATCATTCAAACTCAGTTCTGGTGGTTGCGTTTTCACCAGATGGTCAGCTGCTGGAATCTGGCTCTCAAGACTCTACTATCAAGCTCTAGGATCCTGTAGGCTGTCACCACTCGGCCAGAAATGGTCAACCCCCATTCTTGTCGCTTTAGCCGGGGAAAATCATCGCAGTATGTCACCACACGAATGGCCTAGATCTTGAAATAATGGTCCAACCCTTTTCGGCCGAATTTATGTAGAGGAAACACCGCTTCCGCCTTATACAGGTTAGCTAACTTTGTGCATTAGGTACATTTTTCTTGATATCGTGAGCCTCCTAACGTATTTTCCCACAATTCTGATGTTCCAATTCTCTTATTCTCCAGAAACATTGTGTCTCGATCACTTTGAAACATGTTTGGTTAAGATAACCTGCTTTCCATTCACATCACGCGGCTCGTAAGCAAGAGCAGCAAATCCGGCTTCTGCTATGTCCTTGTCGTAATTCTCCATGACCCAATGAGCCATCATGTCCATGCCAGCGCAAGCACCACCAGCGGTCCAAAATTTGCCGTCAACGACCCAATTCTTTTCGACCGTCCACTTGACATTGGGGGCAAATTGCTTTGCAATCGCGATGGCCTCGTGGTTTGTCGTGGCGTTCAGACCATCTAGAAGACCCAACGCGGATGCGAAAATTCCACCGGTACAAGTGGTGAATACAGTCTTGACTTCGTTGGCACGTTCGCGCACAAAGCTTGCTATCGCTGGCGGGATGTTGGTGATATAATTCGGTGAAGGCCCACCAATTAGGAGATAGTCAAGCTTAGGACAAGCAGACAGGGTGGTCGTAGGCTGGGATTGGAAACCTGCGGGGTGGGTTACAGGGTCCATTCCATCGCCGATATAGTGGAATTCGATATCAATACCACGGTCAGCGATGTCAGGATTGTTGAATTCCCTTAGATAAGAAATGGAGGAACTGGATAAGACATCAACAGGTCCTGCGACGTCCGAGAGTTGGAATGGTATCATGATAACACCGAACTGGATGGGAGCCATGGTTGGTGGATTGAAAGAGGATGGCAGTAGAGACAAGAGGATGGCAGTAGAGATGGGGAAAAAAAGCCTACAAAAAGGGCCACCCGACTATTTATATGTATAGAAACAACATCCCAACAAAGTCTTTTTCCACTTCGATCTCCAACTCCTGTTTCTGATAGGAGAGTCAGTGATGTCCCCCATCTCGGGTCCTTTTGTTCTGATCCATGGATTCATTCATTGGATCCATGGGTCGACGAGTCCACGGATCGGCCTGTGGAGAGCCCCGCCTCCAGGGCTTATTCACGGCTTATTTACGGCTTAGTCACCGAAATCGCGGATCGGAGAAAGAAAGTGAACGTTCCGTTCCGTCCTTCACCTCCAAACAGATGACTAGACGATTTTCATTTACTTTTCTTTTTTTAGCCGCTGTACCACTTCAATAGCTAGGCCCAGGTATTACGCAACCTTGAAGTTCCCTGATTGTCTCAAGACCCATTAGGAAATAGACTAGATGGGGGAACGGCCCAAGAGCAAGGCTTCCCAGGCGTGCGAAGTATGCCGCTCGCTGAAGGTCCGCTGTCTGCCTAGCTCTCAACCTGACACATGTCTAAAGTGTGTGAGATCCAAAAAAACTTGTGTATTTTTGGAGCGGCAATCACGGCAACCGCGGCAATACAAGCCAAAGCATAGCTCAAAGGCCCGAATCCGTGCACTGGAGTCGAAAGTCGATGACTTGCTTGCTTTCGCTAGTCAATCCCAGCTAATTCAGGGACAAGAACCTTCACAGCGCGAGGTGGGGTTTCGGGAAAATGTCTTGTCCGCCTATACTTCATCTTCTGGCGGGGAACGAGATTCCACGCCCAGCACAAGTTTAACCCCCAACGATTGGTCACTTGATATATGGTCTGGCTATCCTAAAATCAATGGCATATCCTGTCCTGAACTACTTCTTGAGTGTGGCCTGTCTATTGATGCTGCTGATGGATTCCTCAACCGGTTTCGCACCATGACCTCCTACTTTCCATTTTTCATGGTTCCCAGTGAGGCCACTGTGTTGACAATGTGCAAAGAGCGGCCTTTTGTTTTAGTGGCGGCATTGGCTGCAGCGACCTCCTCAGACAAGAAATTACAAAAGTCCCTTGGTGACAAATTCAGAACCTGCGCTCTCCACACTATTGTGGTTAACAATGAAAGGAGCCTAGATCTTCTGAATGGGATGCTAGTATACTTGGCCTGGTGAGTAGATTTTGCTCATTCAACACTCTTAGTTCAATCCTGCTAACCAACTCTTACTCTAGGTATCAGTTTTATTATATTCCGAAGCAAGAACAATTCAACCAACTACTCCATATCGCGATTGGCATGGTCGGTGACATGGGCTTGAACCTCACACCTGCCGAGGCAATGAGTAGGAAGGCGGGACTTCGATTGACACATTATCGCAAATTCTCTACACCTTCAGCGAACCACGATGAATTCTTTAGCCGAGAAGCTCGCCGAGGATACTTGGGATGCTTTTATCTTTCGAGCATGTGAGTTGTTACCCCGAACAAACCTCTTCCACCTTTGAATCCAATTTTCCTGATGAACCAACCGATCATCGATCATCATCGCCCAAATCGGAGAGTGGTTTGACTAATTAAAGTTGGTATTAGCACTTGCTGGATCACAATGAAGCCAACCGGTATGCAATTTCAAAGCTATATGATTGACTGTGCTATATCTTTGGGTCAAGATTTGGAGCATCCAACGGACGCATTGCTTTTACCGCTAGTCCAGCTTCAAAACATGGCCGAGGTAAATCACCGCAGTCTTTCAACTGTTGATAACACTACACATGATCACATGAATGGTCTAGATCTTGAAAGTAAGGTTCAATCCTTTCAAGTCGAATTCAAGCAGTGGAAGCACTCGCTTCCACTTGTATCTCAGCAACCAAGTAAGTTCAATTGATCGAACCCAATCGAACCGATGCTAATGGGCCATAGACGGGATGGACCTGGCTTGTGACGTTGCTGTAATGCATGTCTACGAGATGGGTCTTGTCAATGTGTTTGCAACGAAAATGCGACAAACGAAACATTCTTCGAAAAATTCAACAAGCTCATCTTCTACGTCTCGAATTCACCTGGAGGTACTCTTTCTCTGTTTGAAATCAGCAGGGCAGCTTGCTCAAAATTTCCTCTCCATCCCAACATCTGAATACAGCAGTCTCTCTTACATACAGTGGTCTGGCCTCATATATGCTATCATCATCATTTATCGACTGACAGTCGGGATTCCCCAGCTTCGTGACTGGGATGTTCGAGTTGCGCGAAGGACCATTGACTTTAATTCTGTACTAGACACACTCTGCAGTCGCTTCAAAAGTGTATCGATTTGTGATCCTAACTTATTGGAGAATGGAGACCTATTCTCCATGATGGGCTCAATTTTTGAAAATATCAAGCAGACCTACGAGAGACTCGAGCAGCTGCCGCAGGATGATAGTGCAGATGACACTAGCCCAGTTCATGCCACTAGCTTTTCGCCCCTCACACTCAAATACCGGCATCCATGCCCTGCATTCCCGACCTGGAGGACAGGCCGGCTAGGATAATATTTAGTCCTACTGACGAGAAAGACTATATTACCAGCTGGGTGCAACTTTTGTTTGTAGAAAGACAAGTGATGATATACCATCGAGTATTGAACTCATCAAAACAGCAATTGATAATCATTGTCATTTGTTTTCACTCATTTCACACTATGAAGTCGTGGCTACCCATGTGACTGTCCTGTTTAAACGGCAACGCTAAAATCTGCCACAAACAAGCAAAAACCTCAATCCACCCTCACCCCATTCATGATTCACATCAAGAACAGACTACGCCAAGAAGTGTTGACATTGTATACTTGAACAAGGCTTGTAAAATATCATTGGTCACATTTCTACCCCATTTCTGGTGTCTTTTTCTCTCTCCCTTGCTATTCTAGTGCCACGCCGAACTCATCCCGTTAATCCGAAGCCTGACATCCTGCGTCACTCCATCCGTTGAAACAAGTCGTGCTTCCGTTGCATTTCCCTCTGGGAATATCTGAGCCGTCAAAGAGACCTCTCCTTGACCCCCCAAGACCTCAACACTAGACCAATCCACGAAGATCTGCAAATTAATACGTTTATCCGCGCTCGCTGGCAGTGGTGCGTGATACAGACTTGCAAATGTCTTATCAAAAGATACAACTCCTGAATTTCGCCGATCCACAAAGATCTCTTTGCTGGTAAAGTTGTACCCAATGAGTGTTTCTTGCTTTAAGTCAGAGCTACCACGGACGGCTATCGCAAACGTAGATGCCAGAGGATTCTTGCAGTCATGATCAGAAAAGCTCAAGTCAATCTTAAATGCCTTGCCCGGAGAGCCAAGCTTGGTTGATCCTTTCGATACGGTTTTCCAGGAATGTTTCGAGGTCCGGTGACTGGAAACACTCCGCCAGCTATGTTGCGGTTGTTGAAGAAGGGTTACCTTCCCATCAATCTTCTTCAAAGACAACTGGCGGGGAACAGACATGGCGCTTCGCCAAGGGCTTGTTGGGATTGTCGCACCATACTGCCAATTATTCATCCATGCGATCTGGACCACGTCTCCATCAGGAAGTCCGTTATAACTGGCGGCGGCATAGAAGTCAGGACCCCAATCCATCCAATTGGCAGTCTTGTTATCTGGATGGATGCTAGAAGGATCGGCCTTGAAATTAGTGCCGTTGAAGTCGCCAATGAAGTATTGTGTCCCTGATCCAACAGTGCCAGGTGGACCACCAGGGTTGAGTCCCAAAACCATTACCCATTTCTTGGCTGATGGGTGTCCTTTGATAGGCATTTGAAACAGATTGGGACACTCCCATACGCCACCGACAGCATTGTATGGTCCGAATTCGCTGGCCAAAGACCATTCTTTGAGGTTGTCGGAACTCCATATTAGAATTTTGTGGAGTGATGCTAAAACTGTGACAGCAATCCATTTCTGTGTATCACCATGCCAGAAGACGAAGGGATCCCGGAAATTTTCGAATTCTGCTGCATAAGGAGAGGGTGGGTTTTGAATCACGGGGTTCTCAGTATCATATGTTGTCCAGGTCTCGCCATCGTCGAGACTATACGCGATTGACTGAGATTGCTGCTCTGCTCGAACACGTTTGCCGCTTGGAAGCTCTTGTGAGACCGGATACTTTATGAAAAAAAACGGTCGTCAGTTTCCATGAGTGATCAAGCGAAATAGTCATACGATCATACCATAGAAGTATACATGGCGACCAAAGGAATCTTTCCCTCAACCCCGAAGCCACTCGTGTTGTTCACATCTGCTACCGCACTTCCCGTGAAGTACATCTCGGTGACATTCTCAGGATATCCACGAGCAAGTAGAGCAACAGGGCGCTCTTCCCAGTGGGTCAAATCTTTACTTGTTGCATGACCCCATGACATATTCCCCCATTCAATACCAGCAGGGTTATATTGGAAGAAGAGATGGTAGGTGCCATTGTGAAATAATAGTCCGCTAGGATCGTTCATCCAGTTTTCGGCAGGGGAAAAATGATATTGAGGACGGTATGGTTCGGTATAGTTCAGGCCGGCTGCCGTCCCGGCGAGAAGACCCAGTGCCATTGTGCGGAAAAGGCCCATCTTGGAGTTTGACAAGACTCTCTATATGAAGAGAACCTATTTTGTTCTATGACGAGGAAATTCATACAACTTTTATATCTACAATATCACCCCTCCCACATTTCGTACTTCTCGGCATGTCCAAATGCTCTGCAAATCTTCGGGGAAATACAAAACTCTCACCCCACATTCTTGTGAGAAGAGGTAAACTCGGCATGCTCGGAGGTAAGTCGCTGAAACTCGGGAAGCAATCTCGGAGGTCAAGACATTTTATGTCTTATTCGTGCCGTAATGCTCTCACCCCGCATATGTCGCGGGGGCTTGTGCGGTCCTGGGGATAAGTTATGATATCATTCAAGGGACAACGAAGTATTGCTTACTGCAAATGAAGTATACAAAGTAATTAAATGGGGATTTCTATCATTCAGAAAGCTCCGGCAATTTCTAATTTGATGAAATATGATACTCAGTCCGCTTGCTATAAATTCTACAAGCTTGGTATTTGTAAGACAAATGGCCCGATCTCTGCCAAGCCAGTCCCCCTTCGAGTCGGTTACTCCTTGATATTAGAGGTTACAACTTGACCATGATTACTTGGCGTAAGACGACGGCAAGGCATACCAGATGTACGGAGTACTCTGCCCCACAGTACATAGTATTCTTGCACTAATAAACTCTCGTCTTGGACAGAAAGAAAGAGGTCAATATGTGTGTGTATTGGACTAACTGGACGACCTGAGTCCGGGGAAAACAGAGGAAATGAAAGGATCTAGCTACATATCCAACTAAATATACTAATACAACATAGTCCTACGACATAATGGATTACGTGACTATGCACAACCTCCCGAGGTCCTCCGGAATTGGACCCACCGTTTTATTCGGGAAGACCTCGGGACTCACTTCCAAAGTTACCTTCAACATTTGAACTTTTTGCCATTGGTCTGGGAAGATCAATTGAAGGCCTGTTCTAACACTCCCAGGTTACCTCCATCCTCCATTGGCGCCTCTCTAGTAGTCCGGGGCAAACTAAAGCTACAAGCTGACATTCAACAAAATCAGCTCGGAAAGGGAAGATGTCTTCATTTTATTAAGTGCCAGACAGACAGCAAGCTTGAAGTACAGACCGTCACTCATAGTATGGCTTTGCCTCTTTAAGTCGGAGGGCAACCTCCTTGTCATGACCGAAAATCAATGTTGCGTTGTACAGTCTTTGAAGTCTGCGGATCATGTTGAGACTGCGATACCATGCATTGTGATCCCTAGCTAATCCCCCGTGAGGATGACCCAGCTCATAGTTCTCTGCCACGTGGAACTGGTCCGTGGTCCAAATAAATGGCCCATCGTTGGCAAGATTGACTTGCATAATGCAAAGTCCAGGTGTGTGACCAGGTGAATGGTGGAGGGTTATGCCTTGAAAAAGGTCAAGGTGTGACTCGTTGAAGGTGTTCCATTTCAGCTCTTCGAGCAACATATAGTGTCCTAGATAGACGCCCAAGTCTGCCCCGGTTGCTACCGCCCAGCAAGCGTGCTTGAACTCTTCTTCGTGAACGTAGATTGGGACATCTGTCTTCGCAAAATGCTCAAGTCCTCCGGCATGATCAAGGTGTAGGTGGCCAATGATAACCGCTTTCACATCCTTGATGTCGTTTCCGGTGGCTTTGATAGCATTCGGGAGTTTATGATTGTCCGAGTATTCAATTCGCGGAAAGACATCTGTGACTGGCGCTGGCCATTTCTGTATTCTGTTCAGTTAGACATAATGAAAATTGCGATACTATCTGACACACCACTTCCAAATCCTCAGCACAGCCAGTCTCATAAAGAATGAGGCCAACTCCCGGATATTCAATGAGAGCGGAAAGGAGCACTAAATCTCGACGTTTGTTCACTGGATTTAGGTTGCTCAAAGAGCTTGCATTGCCACCTCGAAAGATCCTGTGCAAGGTCAGTAAGAATCTCACAATTTGACCTGCTGTTGGCAAATAAAAACCATGATTCATCCGCTTGGAGAGTGCCCAAGTTCAGAATGTGCATCTTTGTCCCAGCAGGACACTTAAATGCTGGGACAGCTGCAGATAACAGCAGAGAGGCGGGATCCATGGAGGAACTCATCTTCAGATAGAAAAAAAAAATCGGATCGAGGAAATGATTTTCAAAAGCGATTATCGTCAGGGATGTTTTTTTTTTTGTTTTCGTCATAACCACGGAGTCTTCCCCGCATGTTGGGTAGCGACGGAAGAAGACCGATCATTTTGTGGATGTTTCTCGTATGACAAAAGTACATCATCGCAGTGCATGAAATCAAAATATAGAGGAGGACACCTTGGTATTATAAGAGTAGTCAACCAATGTTAGGGCCTTATTAAGTGAGTTTTAGTAGTAATCTAAAGTAGTCTTCTCGGATGATGTGGCAGGAAGTATAGTGGGATTGGTGATCCTGATTTAACTGGTTCGAACTGTAGCTAATGCTGGCTAGAACGATCCCAGCCGGAGGAGTACCTCCAGCGAAATGAAAGGGGCAGTGCAGCGGGCTGGAGGCCCCCCACATGCAATGTTCGGTAGGGAACGAAGGTAATGAAACGGCCGGTGATGAATGCAAGATATATGGGCTAGGAAGAGAAAGCAGATGGAAAGAGGGGGGTGGACGACGGCCCCAATACTCCATGTTGTGGGACCAAACAAGCTTGTACGATCCATCACCAGGCACATGTGCACTTGGATTTGGAACTAACCCATGTAGGGTTAAAACCTTGAGATTTGAGGTCTGTCCTGACCCGCCCCCGAAGGGATTCTGACCTGAACACCATGATCCCGTGCTGAGGTTGCATCAGGCATCGCACTTGTGGATCCCGCCTTGAACTATCACCAAAGTCGCTGGCTATTGGATACTAAGCTCTACCCCCTCTATATGTCTTGGATGGCTCTTATCAATCCCCCTCAGTCAAACAGGGATACTGACAAGTTTTCTTGGAGAATGAACACACCCCCACGTTGTACCTTTCTCCTTGTTCACGACCGACCATAATTCCCATAATAGAGCCGATTTTCTAGCAGCGGAGCTAGGTATCTTCACTAAGACTATTGCCGAGTTTTTCCCCTTACCTTCCTTCGACTTTGGAGACAGTCCCCTTTAAGCTAGAAATCCTATCAACGGTAAATGCCAGGGCCATGGTAATATTCAAGATAATTCAAGCGTGAATCAGATTACAGCCGTGTGTGCTACTGTAGCTACAGGCGCAGCCGGCGGTGTGGGCCAACTTATTGGGAGGGTGAGAAATATATCACAATGAATGTGTAAAAGCTTGCTGGTATATGCATGACCCTATGAAATGTATACTATCTGCGAAGCTCACCAAACTGTCGGTTTGCAAAAACGTTCTTAGGAACTTGGTATCATGGATATATGTACTTACACTTTTGTATATCACAAGCAGGGAGGCATCCAAGAGATGGCATCCTTGACATAATAGTAACCGGTTTGAATCTTTCGCCATGAACGCAGACACCCTCTCTAGCCATAAGATCACGGTTATTCTTCATTATTATAGTCCATAATGCATTCATCAAGCAAAAATCGCTAATCTCAAGGCCATTGTTCAAGACTACATGCTGCCCACGGGGAATATTTGGTAATGCAGCACACAGAGTTCAATATGTATGCCTAGTGTGATCATAGTAAGTGTAAAGTCTCATCCTTGATTCCAGTTTCACTTATTCGCAAAGACGATCTATACACTTAAAGAGATTGGAATTTCCGGTATAGAAAATTAAATAACGTAAGAAATGATGCATAAATCCCACACTGAAGTAAAAAAATTGTCGGATTTAAAGACGTCTTTGAGATGGATGGTGATCAGGAGAGTCAAAAATTTGATCACAAATGTCTATTGTTTAAAGAAGAGTATGTGGCTTCACAGGGAATATCAAAGGAAACAAAACCAAAAATGCCATGAGAAAGTAATCGGCCCGACTAGTCCCCACTTACGCAGCATGATAGAGCCTTATTGGCCGAAATGGATAGGGTAACTGCGACACAGTTTTTGTGCTCTGATTCACCCCATCGGCTTCCTCGTTTGATACTTGACTAGTTCGAAGATATGTAAAACAATTAATCATCAAATTTAAGCCTTATATATAACCGAAGCAAATTACAACTCAAAGGCTGGCTTAGGAGTACCTGCCGCGTGATGTGTTCCCGTTACTTACGTAGCCTTGGGACATGGTCACAGAAACTCTGAGCCTCACTTACACTCGAATACAATTTTATATTCCAAGAATTCTCTATCCAATGGTGCATTGATCTTGAGTATTTACATTATATCTAGGCTCAGAGTGTGTCTTTGATGTTGTACACAAGCTTCTGTCCGCTAATCTTTCCTTCCTTCAACAATTGAAGCCCATCCAGGACACCGTTTAATCCACCATCACTGATCCTAGGAGGATGTACCTTGATCTTTCCATTCAACAGCATACCCTCGAAGATTCCACAGAACACTTCAAGGAAAGCCCTATCCTCTGGCCGAGCAGGGACCTCATTTGGTCCGAAAGTAAACTTCTCACCAAATGCCGTGTAGGCCATTGTAGCGCGGTCTCGGATATTATCGCGCACAATCTTAATAGGTAGAAGGGCGCTATAGTCACCACCCTGAGAGGAAAGCGAAATGTCACAGTACTTGGCACTGCTTTCCACTGAAATGGTATCAAATGCCAGGGTAAGACAGTCATTCGTGTAATCGTTGATCATATTCGCAGATTTTGGATCATTATAATCAAAAGCTACATCGGCACCGAGGTCTTTCACTCGGTCGAAGTAACGAGGGGATCAAGTGGTTATAACTTCGTAACCAGACAGCTTCGCAAATTGGATTGCCAAAGTTCCAGTGGCTGTTGAGCCACCATAAATCAAGACCAACGTTTTCTTTTCGCCGTGAACCAGGGATGCGGGGATAGGTACACGAAGGCTTTGGTAAAGACCCAGAGCGGCGGTTGTAGCGCCAAGTCCTAAAGTAGCTGCCTCTTCGAAGGTCATGCTTTCGGGGATCCTGTATTGAAGGTCCCCTTTAGCCACAATGTATTCGGCGAAGGCTCCATCTTCAGGTTGGACGGCGTTGGACCCATGAACAAAGCCACAAACTCGATCACCTTTCTTGAAGGATTTCTTGACGTCTTTGCCGACATCTTCCACAATGCCAGCGTAATCGCATCCGACCAGTACACCCGGAGGCGCAAGAAAGTCAATGTGCTTCCAGTCAGTAGGGTTCAATGCCACGCTGACATTCTTGACCAGAATGCAATCATCACGCAGTGTTGGAATGACTCGGTCGCTCACCAGTTGCGCATTCTTGGGTGAATCGACAATGATAGCTTTCTGTAATGACATGTCGGTGACGTGGTTGCAGAATGGAATCTAATCGAAGGGCTTTGGGAGATATCTTTGATGATAGATAGACTTCCCACATTGTATGATGGATTAGATATATATAAATGCATCAAAAACAGCCCACTTCCAAGGTTGACCAATGAAAAGCAACGAGTAAGCAGCTTAAATAAAGTTACTCTAAGTGGGTCGGTACCTCGGTACATCTTGCCGTGTACTTTTCAATGCGCATGTTTCTTCTCCGTATTGATGTGACGAATAACTTACAGGACCAGCTGTGGGGTCCCATCAGTCCACAAACCTCAAACCACCACCTAATATGTATACCTACATATGTACATATGGAGGTAGGTATATACCCGTCTAATCCCCATGCAATCCCGTTGGACTCGGAGTTAAGAGGCCATTGAAGAGACTGCTCGAACAATTGATTGGTCATGTAAGCAGCCTAAATCGGCATGACAAACCTTGGAATTCTAATGAATATCTAAGAATTGGGGCTTGACCTTGACAGATATTCTGGATACTAAGGTCATTATACGGGATTTCGCGCGAGGGAAATTTCAAGCCGAAACTCGATGGCCAACCACGCAAGGTATCTTCCGTAGGTACGCCACCTTGATTGCTAAGCTTAGACTTGTCCTCGAGCAAAGTCAGTATAAATCTCCAAAGCCCAGCTGGTGAAAAACACACTTGATATTCTACCAATTCAGGCTATCCACTTCGCTTTAAATGTCAAATATGGCGAAGAAATTGAGTCTCACGTCTACTCGAAAAATCCTTTCAGGATATGAAATCCCAGTACTAGGATACGGAGTAAGTAGCAAAACGGTACTCCTTTTCACACAGAGTATATGAGCTAATGCGACATTGTAGCTGTACCAAGTGTACGCTAGAGAGTATTGCAGTGCATCTACTGCTGAACATAGTCGCTGATCATATCAGGGCAGGTGCAATCGCTGAAGACGTCACCGACAAGGCTCTAAAGGCCGGATATCGCCATGTAAGATGAATCGTTTCCCACCTGCGACTAGGTCCAAGCTGAACGTTTTCAGATCGACTCAGCTGCTGTGTATGCAAATGAGAGGGAATGTATCTCTGCGGTGGAAGGGTCTGAATTGAGCCGGTCAGACGTCTTCATAACCACAAAGGTCCTACCGGACGCTGTTGGTTATGAAGCAGCCAAAAGATCAATCGATGACAGTCTGAAGAAAGTAAAGACCAATTATTTTGACTTGTGGGTAAACGACTCACAATCTATTGCCATGTACTGATCAATGCAGGATTCTTCTTCATGCGCCCTTTGGAGGTAAGGATGGTCGCCTCGGTGCCTGGCGTGCTTTGGTCGAATCCCAGAAAGCTGGCAAGGCCCGATCAATCGGCGTTTCCAACTTTGGCTTGCACCATCTCAAAGAGCTTGAAGAATACATTCAGAGGACAGGAGAGGGTAGAATCGAAGTCGGCCAGTATGAGCTGCATCCTTGGCTTGGGCGCGCGGAGTTGGTCGACTGGTTGCGCGAACGTGATGTGCTCATCGAGGCATACTCCCCTCTTGCGAGAGGAACTCGCATGGATGAACCCATTCTATGGGCGATAAGCAAGAAACATGGGAAGAATCCAGCTCAAGTTTTGATTCGCTGGAGCCTTCAGAAGGTAGGTTTCGATCATGATGGTTTGATGGCACATGGCTTGGCTAACATCATTTTGATTGCTTTTCACTTAGGGTTTTGTGCCGCTGCCAAAATCTGCTACCCCGAAGCGCATCCAAGAGAATGCGGATGTGTTTGATTTTGAGCTAGACGAGGACGACATGAAAGCATTGCATACCGACGATTATACACCTTCCACTTGGGATCCTACTGTACAGAAAGATTAGAATGGTTCCTACAAAGACCACATCTTGATAAAGGCCTCGATCATGCTATCATTTGTAACGGTTGTTCAAAAACCTCCCGCCAAATGAGCGGTCTTTCATCCCTCTTGACTCTCCAAAAGTTCGTCGAAATCAATATCTCAGGGCAGTCATAAAGAAACAACTGCCACTTCCTTGCAAAGTCCTCCGTAACCTCCCAATTTTTCGGATCCCAGGGCGTTCCCCACACAAGCATTCTTGCATTGCTACACCTTGTATCCCAGAAAGCTGTGAGATCATGGCACAGATCATGCGAATCCAAACTATCTCCGGCGTGAATCAGATTGTCTCTAAATTGTGGAAATGGAAAGATATCAAGCCACGGATGGTGTGGAACTGTTCTCTGTAGTAGCGTTGGTCGTAGGCTTCGAGGAACGCTATCTTCGGAAAGTTGTGGCCGGGCCAAATTAAAAATTGAAATGGCATGGTCATTGCACATCCATTCGACAGTCATGCCTACTGCAACACCATTTTGATAGGCTGCACGTAAGACATTTAGCCTATTGAGGTTGACGAGGAGGTCCATCCTAGGCGACCCCTCTGCATAACTTGACATCGCTCTCTTTTCGAACTGGGTCATGCGCTCGTGTACATCCGAGGGAGCATGTGTATATGTAAAATGTCGCACTTCAGATAACCTACACGTCACGGAGTCATACTCTGTGGATTCCTGAGCAGTAAGGCTTTCCGGAGTGAAGTCTATTTGAAAAGTGGAACCAGAAGGTACATCATTCGCCAGTGCTTTTTGTTTGTCCCGGGCTTCTCGACGTAGTCCTGTTAGTCACAATCATCCCGAGTCAGCAATCAGGACTTTTGGGGTCTCAATCTGATTTCTCAGAGATCTTACGGTAAGCCCTCTGGTTGAGACGATTTTGGACTCTCCTCCGCGCCGCCGGGTTTCTGACCCCGTTCAAGTCATCATCGGCGGAATAAGCTGCTGACTGCGGAGCCAAGCGCTGCCGAATTGGGAGCCCTAGCTCCAGTGGTTCCGACGTCGTTGGCTGGCGCATCTTATTCATGGAGTAGATTTTTTTTAGTTAGCGACATGAATGTTTAAGGATACAAGAGGTTGAAGGTCATCTCTAGTTGCCACTTTAAGACGCTTATATTTCAACGCTTATTGGTTAGAGGCTTACCATCGGTCTCACTTCTGCGGCCCACAATTAACTCCGTAGAAAATCCGACATTTTTACTGCAATTCGGAGGTAAAATACCGGTTTTTAGATATTATCAAGAGATACCTCTAGGGCTGCACACAATTACGCCATCAATACCGTATCAAGCGAATTTGAATTTCATGTAATTTTACCTGCGTTGTATAGGTCCCCCTATTACTCCGTTCGGAGTACACGTTCCAAAGTTATAGATGTAAGCATTCTATTAATCATCATGAATCACCTATATAATATAGTTTATGTCGAAGCTTAGGTACTTAAGACGTTCAATCCGCATTATTTGACAATTCCTTCATCATTCATCACTACTCTCTGACCAGCAAGTACATGTCCGAAATCATGTCCACTCACCCTGCCATCACAGCAACTGGTGTCAAGCAGCCGTTGACCCTGGTGCAAGTCCCAACTCCCCAACCTCAACAGCATCAAATCCAGGTTCGCATTGAATGGGTGCCTTCTGCACCCTTAGACGTGTACCAAGTTGATGCTGGGTTGATGGCTCAATTTCCTCAATCCATCGGTGATAGCGGTGTCGGTACTGTTGTAGCAGTTGGTCCTAGTGTTGAGTGCCTCCACGTTGGTGACCAAGTCATGGGTTTCTTTTTCCACAATGAGAAAGAGAAGGGTCAACAAATCTACGTGACTGCACCCGAACATCTATTTGGAAAGGTATGAATCGTTAGCCCCAATTATTGCCCGCTTATACTAAGCGAAGCAGGTTCCACCAGGTTTATCCCTGGCTGCGGCGGCTACGTTGCCGACAAATATCGCCACCGCATTTCTCACCCTTTCGGACAAGCTAGGCATCGAGTTGCCTTGGCCGCGTCCATCTGAATTCTCCTCCAAGGACCAGAATGTCCCTATTCTCATCTGGGGTGCAGGCAGTTCCGTTGGCCAATTCGCAGTTCAAATCCTCAAGTATTGGGGGTACACCAACGTCATCGCGACTGCGTCCTCTAAGCATCACGCAAAGATCAAGGGCTACGGCGCCAAACATGTCATTGATTATAAAGATCAAGATGCCGTGAGCTCCATTCTCGATATATTGAGCACGGAGAGTCCTTTTCTTCCCCTTCGCGCGTTCGACTGTGTGGACTCCAAGTTCGGTTCTCTGCAGCACATAGCCAAAATTACAACTCTACCGGGATCGATTGTTGCTGCTGTTCTTCCGGTGGTAGTTCGCCCTTCTTCAGAGGAAGGTGGTGTGCAAGTCTCGCTTGATGTGGCTGGAGAAGCCACTTGGATGCCCGGCGTGGAAATCCATGGCATTGTAAGCTATGCCTTTGAAGCGGTATGTCTAGTTTCTTCGTGTCCACTTTGCTTTTCTTTAACAAAACTAATATTCTACCAGAACCCTTTCCTCAAAGACCATTTACTGCCGGATATTATCCCTGGGCTTGTTAAGTTGGGTGCAATTGAGCCTAACAAGTATCGAGAAATTGAAGGCGACTCGCTTTTGCAGAGGGCTACCGCTGCGTTGGATACTCTGAGAAGTGGACAAGTTAGTGGCGAGAGACTGGTATGGAAGGTTTGGACCGAGGGCGAATTCCCGCAGTTCAAGTAAATTGATTTCGCACACTCGAGAATGTTAAATAGTGTAGATCAAACTACAGCATATAACAGACGAGATAACTTCTTGTAAAGATAATAGTACATATATAGAGTACGAAACCATTGTTATAGCGATTCCATTGTTAGTAGAAGTGTTAGGGGAATACATACTTGTCTGCCTAGTATCAAGCTCAAATTCCAGTCCGTATGAAAATGATTCGTTGTACGATCGACCACGGTTAGATGGGATCGTACATAATATCATCCAACGGAGTTGAGAACCTTGGAATATTTCGAATATATAGATGTGATTATTTCCAAGGTTGGCTGTGCGTACTGCTCCATTGATAGACTACGGACCCTCTATATATAGCAACGTAAAGTCAACTTGAGATAAGAGAAACCCGTAGTATTATTGTAGATCACTCTTCTCTGTTAAAGTCACATCCTCGTACAACGTAGTTTGTTTACATCGCCAGTGTAACGGCGACAGATGACCAAAGCTGGGGGAGAATCTTTGCCTCCCAACTTCCTCCTATCACCCGAATCTCTGGTATATTCACTTTACACGGATTCCTTTGGACATTTTTCCGAGATCTCCTAGCCGTTGAATTGATTCAATTAACAATATGGATCCTATTCTCGCAGAAAGCACCCTCGCGTATCATGGACTTCGGGTGAAATCAACTAATACCGATGGATCAGGTGTTGATTCAGGCAAGGCTCAAACTGATCAAATCAAGCCGTTGATCAGGACCTTTCTTGAGGATATCGGCTTTGATCGCACCGTTCACGTTATTCAAGACCATGAGATGACAACTGCGGTTTGGCAGTACTTCCAAAGTCTGGAACTAGGAGAGAAGACTGAGAAATCGGTCCAACAAACCCTCCACCCTTCGGTGAACTTTTCATATCACGGCTATACGACGCTTCCTTTCCAAATAAGGGTGCTAGCTGCCATTCAATTCCTATATATGTTTCTAGTGGATGATGTGGCGGAGGAATTCATAGAGGACCTTCAAGCATTTGGTCAAAAGTGAGTCTACAGTTCGGCTTCATCGTGAAAGTATTCGACAATATGCTGATCCCCGCTTAGCTTTGTTCTAAATCAACACCATAAGCATTCTATCCTCACTGGATTGGATTATCACCTTCGTGCTTTATCGCGTTATTACGGCCCATACTGCCACTCTGTGATGATTAAAGGCATGCTTGATTATATCAATGGCCGTGTTATCGAGCATAAGATCAAACAGTCGAATTTCAAGTTCTCCTCCGAGTCACGCCTCACGCCTATGTTCTTGCGAACTAAGGTCGGGGGGGCAGAGATTATGATTCATTTTCTCTATCCCAAGTCAGTCTTTCCCGAAGAGGAATACGTCATGCAATATTTCCCTATCACCTTGGAGCTTGTACTCTTCATTGATTTTACCAATGATATCTTGTCCTATTATAAGGAGTTCTGTCTCAATGATGAAACAGGCAATTTCGTGGCAAATTTCGCCGACACGCATCATGTCCAACATTTGGATGTCTTGCGGCATCTCACGAACTATACGCCTGGTGTGAGTTTCAAGATTTAATTATGTTGCGATGGTCTATATTGCTAACAATCGACTGTAGGTGACAAAGTCGGCTTATAAACAGCTTGGAAACTGTCCATCGCTGCTCGCTCTAATTAAGAATTTCACCCAGGGAATGATTATGCTCTTCACGGCCCATCGTCGATACCATCTAGTGGAGTTGTTTGCAGATGAGCAATATTTGCCACCTTATGATGAGGATGCATAGTGTTTAGGTGGTCAGAATGCTGCCAAAGAAGAGACATTTTTGCCTCTTTATGGCGATAACTCAGACTTTGATCTTTTCAATAATGTGCAAAGTATACTATTGATGCCTCAAATAAGAATTAAATCATTGTGCCCAACCTTGCATTTAATATTGCCACACCTTGAGGATATACAATGTATACATGTACAAAGTATAGACCTGGAGAGAAACATAAATCCAATGACATCAGAGAACCCACCCAATCACAACACTCTTATTTTCTTCTGCCCCTCGATCTTCTCACGGACTCTCTACACATCTCCCTTTCAATTCTAGATACTATGTCTTGGTCCCAGAAGACTTTTACTCTCCCCTCTCGCAGCCGAGGTTCCTACCTTATCACCGACCATGTCCTCCAGGAGGTCCCCGAGATCCGCGACTACAAAGTCGGCATGTTGAATTTGTTTGTGCAACACACCAGCTGTGCGCTTTCGCTGAACGAAAATTGGGATGACGATGTTCGCGCCGATATGAGCGATGCGCTAGACCGTATTGCGCCTATGGATAAGAAGGGAAATCTTTATCGTCATTCTGCCGAGGGCGAGGATGATATGCCGGTATGTGTTGGAAAATAGCAGGGGGGCCCGGATTTTAGTTGATCGCTATGCTCGCTTCAAGAGTCTAGCTCTGACTAACTTCCCTGGTGCTTTTTACTCTCTCGTCGAACCCAGGCGCTAATGCACCACAGGCTCACATCAAATCGGCGCTCATTGGCGCTTCGGTCAATATCCCTATCACGAACGGTCGCTTGGCAACAGGAACATGGCAGGGCATTTGGTACCTGGAATTCCGGACCAGTCGGCACAGTCGCAAGGTTGTCGCGACAATTCAGGGACAGAAGGATTGACTAGATAGAGCTGAGCGCGGGCAATTATGATTTATCTAGGAAGTCCCGGCTACGAGGGATGCAAGATAATAACAGGAATTTGGGTTGGCGAGAGAGTCGACAAATGACCCAGATTATATGAGATCATCATATGGTAGTCGAAGTAGTACACACATTTTTGAGGACAATACCATCATCACACACGATCGAAGGGCAGTGCATCCATTCATCGATATTCTGTACACGGCCTCGGGCCCAAAACAAATGGAAAAACGCAAATTGTGCAACGCCGATAAAGGAAATCTCATGCTAGCCGCCTATCGCTGCTCCAAGCTACCCTCTGTCACACGCTGGGACTCGTTGACCTCGGCGGCGTCACCGGTGGGCTCGAGGGGGTAGCTGGTGGCGGGCAGGGACTTCAAGTAAGCGCGGTGCTGTTCGTGGGCCTAGGGAGATGTTAGCAAGGACTCAATCGTAGTCGGTGAGAGGACGGATATAAGTGGACATACAAAGGGAACACCGCAGTATCCACAGGTAGCGATCTCGGGCTTGTCGGTGTTGATGAAGACCTTGGGGTGACCGAGGGGACCACCGCCACCGTCACAGCTGACGACCTTGGACTTTGTCCAACGGACGGGCTGTCTGTGAATGAGTTCGATAGCGGCATATGGTTGCGGCTAAAGAGTAGCAAGTTAGTCTCAATCCTTGATACGCATTGCCAACAGCAATTGCATATGCACTGCTATCTTCAATGGATTCGCACCTGGGTCTCCATAATTGTCTGCTCGAAGCGAGGTCCAACCATGGCTTTCTCGCGCGGCTGCTGGCTGGCGGCCCAGGTGGTGGCGCGGTTGGGGGCCTGCATGCTCCGGATGCGCTCGCCAACCTCGGGGGCCTCCTGAAGAGTACCATCGTTACGCTGACGTCCAAACTCCTCAGTAGGCACAGCATTGGTTGCGGAGACATTCGGCGCGGGCTTCCGCGGGGTCGGGTCATTGACTTGGATAGGGTTCTCGTTCAGACGGGGCACGGTCGAGGAGTATGCGCGGACAACGAAGCGCGGGCGGACCGACACAAAGGTCGCAATTCTGCGGCCACAGGACATCATATTGGGCAAATTTCCCCGGGGTGGTTGGTTATGACGGAGGACAAAAAGAGCGTTGGCAAGGGACCAGGTGCAAGTCGGCACTGAATAATCCGCGAGGTGTGGTTTGGTGAGCGGTCACCGCTTGCTGATTTGAGATAGCTCCACCTTACTCTTTGGATTTTCTGCCGCATCATTTTATTTTGCGCTTCAGAGTGAAGGTAGTTTGACATCTTCCTTTCTCTTCTTTTGAAATTGGGTTCCATTCCATTGAGATTTTACTTTCAACCCATCATGGCTGGCTCTTCCTCCCCGGCTGGAAAGCCTGAGAAGACCATGTCGTCAAATCTATTGACCATGAAGGTATGAATAACAGTTTCCTGATTAACAGCCACGGAAAATTAATGTTATCTCCCAGTTTATGCGACGCGCTGCAGCTGCAAAAGAAACCCAAAGTCCATCTTCTGATGCTAGCTCACATAATTCCAAGCGTCCCCGTCTCTCCACCGAGGCTGAGAGCCCTCGTACCTCAGATATGGATGCGATCGCGGCGGCACTTGCTGCCGAGGAAGAAAAGCGGCAGCAAGCTGTCGCACGAGCAGCTGCAGAGGCGGGTGAGACACACTGGGTCCTTGATGTCCCCGCTACACCTCAATCCACTCAGCAGCCTATGGTATTGGCGGCAGACTCGCTGGATGCAGATGACGATACCTACTCCGGTGGACGACGTGCGTATGGCAATTTTAAGCGCAAGGAGCGCAAGGTCAGTATTTTCTCACTCGCACTTGGTATTTTGTACTCATTTTTCTTAGCCACAAACTACACGGAAGGAGGGCGATGAAGATGATGAGGATGACTACGATGAAGATGAAGACACCATAATCAACCCGTCGAATCCACAAGAAGTCACCAAAATGATGGAAAAGGCCAGACTCAAGGCTGAAGCCAAAGCAAGAGCAAACAAACGACAGACGAAGCTGTCTGAACTGACCAGTATATCTGGTTCTGGCCGTGGGTCTCTCTTGGGAGCTCCATCCTCTGACAAGAAGAAGAAGAAGCGCAAGAGCTACTAAACAGATGACCTTCCACGAGATATCGAACTCAAATGTTTTGATTGGCGTTTTAGCATAGCATATATGGCGTCTTGGCCGTTCCATTAATCAATTCCTTTTCACTTCACTATCACCCGGTAGTAAATGCCCAGCTATTACGGTGATCTTCTATCTTCTAGTGACCGAAGTACTTTCCTCTGTCCATCATACACCAAATATATGAATATCTATAAACAATGTGAATCTCTGCATCCATATCCATTATGTCAGTGTCGCCATCATAGCTCGTATTCTTGACGCATCATCAGGGCTGGTCTTCCGGGCCAGGGACATTTTCTCTTTGTTGCGGTCATCGCCCTTCAATTCGGTCATGGAGTGGGATGTTTGGGTGACAACTTTTTCCTCGCGTATACGTGGAGTGTGGGAGAAAAGGTCTTCTTGAAAGTCCTCTGTTATCAGCTTTTTTATGACAATGTAGTTGTGGTTGTGCTATATCAAACGACATTAGTTTCTAGATATATACCATATATTTTTTTTCATATAGTACCAACCTCGTCCCAATCCCAAGGCAAATTATATGCGATCAATGTTTCTGGCAGCAGGTGTTTATGGTGGACCTAGAGCATATGAGTATCTCCAGGGTTATATGTGATGATGGATGTAATTCACTTACCCTAATCCACGTTGGGTTCGTTTCTTCTTTCTTTTTCTCCTTTTTCTCCTTTTTTGCCTTCTTCTCTTTCTTCTCTTTCTTCATAATAAGCTCAATCTCCTCTTCACTGTAACCCATGCTACTCAGATGATCTCGGAACTCCTTTTTCTTCTGCTTGTTGTGTTCTTGCGGCCCCCATTCTTCCACAGCAGCTCCCTTAGTGATCTTCTTCTTAGAATTATCCACAACCCCGTGCGACTTTCGAGTGTCGTTCTCATTGATATCCCGCGTAAGGTTATCCAACTCATCTTCTTCCATCTCTAAAGAAGCCTTTGACTTTCCCTTTCTTGATTTGGCCTTCGGCATTTCCTTCTTAGTATCTCTTTTTTCGGCCTGCTCAAGTCTATTCAACCTCCAGCGTTGCTCTGCATTCATCCTCTGCACTTCCTCTTCTTGTCTCGTTTCAGGGGATTCATTATCTTCCGGTGTTGCTCGTGGCAAGTAAAAGAGGGCAAGTTCCTGTAAATGCCCGGCCACATGTTGCTGAAACTCGACAGAGGAGAGGTGTTCCTGATTGCAAATGGGGCATTTATAGATATCAGGGATTGGATGTGTTTGCTGGACGTGGGCGTACCACTGGCGACAACTTTCATACAGCCTATTTGGCGTGGAACAATCGGGGAAGACGCATACATAAGGCATCAAATCCCGGAGAATGTGCTGCGCCCATGCTCGATCATCTCGGACAGTAATGGTGTAGAAGCAATATGGACATTTGAAGTAGTTTTGCCCGCACGCTTTCGGGGGAATCGGTGGTATCTTCGTACATCCGTCTGGTCCCTTGAACAGGGTGCCATTGTATGAGGTTTCGGACACTCCATCTTCAGAAACCATGCCATCTGGTTCGTTGGTCTCCTTATATACATCCTTAACGGGATGTTCTGGCAGCATAGTCGACTTCTCCTCTTCAAGGTCAATGTAGTGGCTCGACTTCGCATGGTGCCTTTCACGATATTTCAAAATGGCTCTTTGTCGTGCCATCATAGAACTGAGTCGATCGATTACCATCTCATCTGCGTGGGGATATTTGTTGGAAGTATGCTGCTTAGCCCATAATATAAATGGCTCAGCGTCGACTTTTCGTGTTCCAAGTAACCGGTCATGATGCGCTGGTTGAGGAATCATCATCGACATCTGGTAGAGATGTGTGATTGCTTCCAGAAGGCCTTGATAAATTTGTTGAATCTCCGTTATGCTGTCATCGTATTCTGGATAGTCTCCAATACCCTCAACCCCTTCGCGTGGATATTGATTCTCGGTGTCTACATCTTCCTCGAGGACCTCTATGAGGTCTAAGAGCAGGTCTTTGACTCTCCCCAGAAGCGATAAAATCTGGACTTTTATATGGGACGCATCCCTCAGGCTGTAATCCAAAGAGGATTGTCCGGTCTGGGCGATATCAGCAGCCCATACTCGTAATCGGCCCAGCTCGTCCCTCCATGCTTGCAGAGGGACTTCAAGGATATGTCTAGCAAGACCGTCCGAAGTAATCAAGGAGCTGAACTGGATAAGGCAGCTCTGGAGAAGGTCTGGCACAGTTGCCATCCTATTTGGTTTTGTCTGAGGGTTATAAATGTGGTCCTTGGGGGTATGAAGGATGGACACCCATATAGTGCGGGGTATTGTACCTCTGGGCTGGAGGGGTTGACAAGTCAGCCTACAAAGCTCACCTTGACTCGTCAACAGGCAGAATATGGTGACTGGCATTGAGGCGGCAGGCCTCGCTCTCGCTATTCTTCCTCTCCTCATAAATCAGGTAGACGCCTACGCTCTCGGCATCGAGAAGATCAGACTTCTAAGGCGATACCGACGGGACTTTAAAGGATATTCGGAGGGACTGAAGACACAGCGCACCATCTTGCTAAATACACTGGAGCGAGCCCTCGAAGGTGTCATTGACGATGAGGATGAGATAACTCAACTCATCAATAATCCACAAGGCAAAGAATGGGCAAACGCAGCTCTGCAAAGTCGTCTACGCAGAAAGCTCGACCGAAATTACGATGCATTCTTACAAAATATGACTTCTCTCTCGGATTTGCTAGAATATCTATCTCAAAAACTACACATTAGTGAGGATCAGACGAACGTGAGTGATCTATTAATCTACTTCTTATGATATATGCCGGTTTTATACTCACCTTGGAGTGATCCTATCAGCCAGCTCCCGAAACCTGGGATCTATGGAAATTCCGTAAGATTCTTAGCAAAGCAGTTTACGACGATCTCCTTATAAAGATCAACGCAGCAAATGCAATACTGAAGCTTCTGGTTGACCAATCCGATCACCGAGAAACAAGCAAGAAAAGACGCCAGTCCTGGAGCCCCCTTCTACAGAGATACAAAAAGGCACGCAAAAATGCTAAAGGGCTATTTCAAACCATCACCGAAGGGGACTACTGGCGCTGTGGCTGTAAAGAGCAACACAGTGTCCAGCTTCAAATACAAACAAATCCACTAAAAGGTATCGAGGAGCACCCTCTCGGCAACTCCCAGCCTCAGTTACGGATGCTCTTTTCCAACAAGGCAGTAGTAGGACATAATACGAATACGGATTGTTTATTGAGCTGGACAGAAGTGGTCTTTAAGCCTTCGGAAGTTAAAGAAGTCGTGGAACTTGCTACTCTCTCCCTTTACGATGACTCCACATTGCATCAAGCCCAAAGGAGATCTAGGGTTCAGTTCAACGGTTCTACTCTCATAGAGGAAGCATCGGAACTGACTCTTGAAACCCCGTCTATCCTGCCCATTCAGGACTTCTGTTCATCTCTTCATATTGCGGAAATGCACAGTGGGCGACAAAAGACCATTAGTTTTATTTCCAACAAGAGAAATAACTCTTTCCGGTACACAATGGATGCAGTGAAGAGACTCCCACAAGGAGTTTCGCAAAGGCCTCTTGGGGAAGTTCTCTCAAAAATCAGTCGACGTGATCGACTCCATATTGCTACCGGCCTAGCATGTGGTGTAGTTCAATTCTGTGGAAATTGGCTGAAATCCTCATGGGATAGCTCCGATATCCACCTGGCTGCTGCGGACGACGGTTACAGCGTATTGCTGGACAATCTATATCTTTCATGGCCTCTTCTCCCCCCTGGTACGGGGAAAGAGTCTTACAACTCAACGCACTACCCTAACGTGCGAAGCAATCTTCTATTGCCTTTAGGGCTTGCACTAGTGGAACTATCACTTGGAAAATCCCTAAGTGTATTCTTTACACCGGAGGATGAGCATGAGGAACCATTGGTCACTAAATTCCGAGTCGCCTCAAGGCTTGTCGACAATGTGCATCAGGAAGTGGTACACATTACGCAGAAGCTGTTCATAGCTGCCTCTACTGGTCTGGCATAAACTCGCTGTCCAATGAGCAAAGATTTGTGGAACGTGTGTTTGGTAGCATTGTCTCTCCTTTGCTCAAGGACTTTGTGAATTTCGAGGGTCTGACGTGAGAATTTGAAGTTGATCTCGTAACAATAACAATCAATTTACATTGTATATACTAGCCTCTAGGCCCTGCTAGGGACCTCATTGAGTCTAAGCTGACCCTACCCTGCTAGAAGCGTTGTAAAACAGCGGCAAAAAAAGCACTATACATAGAGATACCCAAGTAGCGACTGGCTCTTCTCGAATAGAAGCAAATCAGAAAAAAATTCTCAAAGCTTCGCCTTCTCTTCCTGCTTCTTCTTCTCCCACCCCTTCTGCGTCGCAAAATTCACAATCAAATTCCAAGCAGCAACCCCAAACCCAACCGGCGGCACTACCAACAACGTCCATGCCCACCATCTCGGACTCGATGCCGCAATATTAGCCATAGCCCCCTTAACAGCAACCTCCAACTCCGCCTTATCAGCATCATTCCAGACCACTACCCCGCGCCCTGTCGTCGTGCCCCGGAACTCCGCCTGCGTTGCTTTCGTCCGCACATCTCCCTGACTCCGCACCCGGTTCTCCGCATCCTCGGCTGTAAGATGCGCATCGCGGGCGCGCAACCGCGCCGTTTGGATTTCAGGATCGTGAACCCCAACCACAATCACCGTTCCGCAGATAAGATCCATCCCGCTCTCAAAGAGGAGCGGTACATCCAGGACCACTGCCCATTGCCCGCGCAGGTAGTGGTAAATTAGGGCTTTGTAGACTTCCCATCGCACAGCGGGGTGGACGATGCCATTAAGGACCTGTCGGTCGCGTTTGCGCTCTTCCGTGCTTCCAAAGACGCGCCGCCCCAACGCCGGTCGATTCAGTGGTTTTCCATTCGGATTTGTAGGCGCATCGTCCAACAGTAGGTCTGGTGTGCTGGGGCCGAAGTAGTTGACGATTGCTTTGTAGCCTGCGGTGCCAGGTTCGACTACTTTGCGGGCGAGGAGATCGGCATCAATTATTGGGAGGGAGTAGGGTGGTGTGGAGAGGATAGATGAGACAGTTGACTTGCCCGTTGCTATTGATCCAGTGAGTCCGATGATCAGCATTTTGGCTTTAGAGAGAGGAGAGAGTTGAAGAGATGTCAAGATTGTAACAGTCGAAGTTGCGAATGCGGGGAGATAAAAATAAGCCTCGGCTCCGCATTAGGTCTTTTACGCACGTCACGTCATCTACATACTCTGTACATGTATACAGGTATGTATTGCAGAGATTCTGGATTCTCTAAATTCCAATCAAACAGCTTTCAGTAACTACTTTGCTATATATTTGATTGTATCAATCTTTGGGAAATCCTTGAAATATCAGTTGCGACCGATGGGTATCCTCGGCGTGAACTTATAGATGCGTCCTGGGGCACTACAATTTGAGAGCGCATGTACGCAGCAGAGCAAAACGCCTAACCCGAGGCAGTGAAAAGGAGAGTCGGCTTATGTGGCTGAATTTCTTCAATCCATCAGTTCAAGTTTCCGGCAATCCATGTGAAGTGTCTTGTGCTTGGCCCTTCCATCCAATCTCCGGCCACCCCTTAGGCAGCGAGGAGAATGGTGGCAGGGAATAGCGCTCATCACAGCCACCTTCCCATGGGCAGGTCAGATCACATAGTCCAAATACTTTGCAGTAGCATTCCTTCGCATTAGGGCAATGCACAGGGTCCTTTCCAAATATCACTAGAGAAAATGTTAGCTTTCGATCGGAACCGAGGGGACTGCAGGGAAATCACATACTATGCCATGAATATTCCATAATCCGTCCACTCAAATCGTCCTCTAGCGGCGTCTCCGCCAGCCATGTGCGAAAGCGCTCATAGTCACTGCGCGGCCGTTCCAGCACCTTGGCGCGGGAAAGACCAAATTGCGCGCAGCACGACACGCCTACCTCCTCCGGGATCGGGATTCCAGGGAATAGCTCCATGAATCCATTCTTGAAGTATTCGCCGGCGTGTACGTTGCTGCGATGCGTGTCGGTATGAGGACGGATTTCTATTGGGCATCCGAGGGTCCAAACGCATCGTAGATTGACGTATCCTTGCTCTTGTATGTATGGGATCTGGACGTTTCGGAGTGGTGGAATGCCGTCATAGTATGGGTCGTCGTTGTGCCATTGGTAGCGTTTCGAGTGGATGAAGAGCATTGTGTCGGGTAGATTATTGTAATTGTCGATGATGTATCTGGTTCAACAGTTCGAGTCAGTATGGGGTACGAGAGGTAACAAGGTAACAGATGTTGCGTGTTGGACTCACGTCAAATACACCATTGACTCCCGGCCTTTGTTGCGCGTCACCGTCAAGGGCGCGTGCTTGTCATCCACCACGTAGATACTTTTCGTCCAGTCGGGGAAGTATTCTGACAGCCATGACGTGTCATCACTTTTCATGCTAGCCACGACCATTTCCTTGCGTCTCGGTACAGCAGGACGAGCCAGCTCGTCTGATTTTGTAGATCCATGTTTCTCCGCATAGCTCCCTGTTTCGGTCTTCACCGGGGACTTCGTTGTCGAAAAGAATAAAAGGTACAGGGCGATGACGATGAAGATAGTAAGGAAGATAGCTTTCATCCGACTACGGCGTCGGGGGCCCTGAGGCCCACTAGGAGCGAACAACATGTTGGATGAAGGGCACTCTGCCCGGGTGGTCAAGTCATTGAGGGGGGGGGGAGAAAGTTGATGGTCAACGGGAAATCAAAGCCCCGGGAGAAACTCGAGAAATCTGGGGATGACAAGTAGAATATACTTGGAATATTAATCAAATACTAATTCATGTAGTATCTGTGTAGGTACTCCGTAATAAATTCCGGAATTGTTAGAGACATCTGGAGGTCGACGTGTCGCAAGTTGAAGTTCTCCGCAACAGCTAAGTTATTTTTTTTTTTTTGGTTTTAGCACTACCCTCACAACTATCACAGTCAATAACAGCTATAACAATTAGAAAAGATATAAAAGATATAAAATCAAGCTAATTTATAAGTTCATCAAGAGCAGATATGTTAATATGTTAATGTATTGATGTGTTATATATAGATCGAATTGGTTTGACCAACATATATTCATCTGATAGATGTCCCTAGACATTCTACCTACATTTTCACCTATTGGCACCCATTAATATGTTCAAAATACCAATAATGATTATCAATACTTGGGTCCAACGTCCCCGCATTTCCAGCCTTCGAGCCTACGCCTTCAATAACATCAATATCGGACGAGGTCACCGTCGTATCGTCGCCAACCGTAATCCAGTACTCGGGACTGGCGTGACTAAAACCAAGATGTGAAGGCGGCACCTTAGGCACCAAGTCATTATCATGTGTGACGCGCCAGAGACTGCCCTGGTTCGTCATATATTCAGCCAGAGCCGCATTGCCCACCCGTGGCTGGCCATAGGTGTACTATAATCTGTGAGTATACACTATTATCAAGGAGTACGAAATAATGGTACTTACCAGGTCTAGTTCATATCCTGCATTTCGAAGTATGGTACCTCCCAATGCAGCAAGAGCTCCGCCAAAGCTGTGGCCTGTCACGACAAGAGTGTAGCCTGGGTAGGTTGTCTGTGCGGCCTTGATCCTGGATGTCAGATCATCCGCAACAGTCTCCCAGGATTCCAAAAACCCTCTGTGGGCTTCACAGCCACTGCATATACTACTGGCATCGGTAAAGATAAAGTTGAGGTTCGCGACCCAAGTCTTTAGTGTGCGACTACCCCGGAATGAGACAACAATCAGCTTGTTTGTTTTGTCGACCGCGAGGAAGCCGGCGACATCGCCATAGCTGGACGAGCTAATAGGTGTCACTGTGTTAGCGAACAGTTTGTGACTTGGCTTTGGAACTTGGTCCCATACTCATCAAACTCATATAGAGAAATTGTGTCAGCGGCCTCCACTAACGGACAGTTGCCTGCCTCGCAAGATAGCGCATCGCCGGTTGAGTTGTCATTGTTCGTGCAGTATGACGCCGCAGCCCACTGAGAGAATAGGGTCAATTGACCAAGCACATCAGTCGACACATCTGTTGCTCGTCAGTTAGTCAGTTTATCCGCATGAATCAAAAGGCGAGCGCATATCCATACCTCGAGGAACAGAACGAGAAGGAGCAGCAACTGTCAACACCGCAAGAGCAGCGATAGCCCCAAGCCGACCAAGATGAAGCATGATGAAGCTCTCTAGAGTAGGGCTTTCTCAACGGCGAGTATACGCACACACACACACACACACCTGGAGATGGCTATGCAGACAAGGCTACCTTATGTATGGTCGGCGAACCCATATGGATCCGTATAGATACTAAAATCCTTTACAAATCCCGACATCTTCGAGGAGCGGGGTACAACGCCCATTCTCTCGTAGATTAAATTATTTCCGAACTCAGCTATATCTCCGGTTTCATGGCGCATATTTCACGCGTGACCGGAGGGATTCCGTTGGGATCGACATGGAACTCATGCAATTGTTGAGTTCGTCAGGAATGTAACCCCGGTGAAACCTCGGACGATTGGATGATAATTGGTTAACACATATTAAGATAGCGGAGTTCCGGTCTAGAATGAGGTTAGGGCTGCCCTGAGAGGGGGCTTATTTGTACCTTGCAGCGGGACGGAGTTGGTCCAACAATGGTCATTGCGCCATATGCGATAACAACCTTGGAAGCTCCGTGAAGATGAACATTTTGGGCTCTTTGCATTTCGGGTCAAAGTAAATTTCCGTGTTGATTGGGTTATGCATAGGGATTGCGTTACCCTCGGGTGTTGTTCGACGATCTTATCTCATGCAGCATATATTAATTGCTGAAATGTTCGGTATCGTAGGAGAAATTCCAGCCACTCACTTCCACCCGTGACTAATATCATGTGGAAAAGCTTATGTTGTACGGAGTACTCCGTACTCCGCAGGGCTTGGTTGTTTCGGAGTAATAACGAACTACAGCATTATGTATGAACATGTGTGATCATTAGAAGCGTAAAATTGATTTGACTGGTTGGATCTATTCCATTTTCAATCGTGGGGTTTTTTTTTTTTTTTTTTTTCTTTTTTTTCCTCCCAAGGTCCGGGAAAAAAAAACAAATCCCCTTATTGGCGAATCCCGTCTTCGATGCCAGTCAGAAACCGTATGTTGTTCATCATTGCTGCCAGTAAGGAACCTTGGTGCTCAGGCCCGAAGCAGGCTTGGCTAGCATTTCTTTGTTCTTGAAATTACTCCCCACTACTGGTGAGATTCAATCTTCATTCCCTCCTCAACACCAGTCATACCAGTGTCCTGTCCATCGTCTGCCCCATCACCATTAACAAGAACTCTGGGAGGGATAGTGTAGCCAGGAGGCAACGGAGTGCCAGGAGTCACAGCAACAATGTTGTCATTCTCATCGACCATCTCAAAGTTGTATCGCGATAGGAGATGCGGAATGGCAGAGAGTTGAGGGCCATAGCGAGCAGTGTTATCATACAACTCGAACAGCGGCACAGCGAGAAGTTTCATATTCTTCGGAACGGAGAGAACCTCTATTAAAAAAAAAAAATTGGGTCATATGTTAGCAATCTTTACGGGGAAGACCTCATGGTGGGTTAGAACTCACTCTTCTTCGGGAGGCGAATAAAGTACAACTTCTTGCACTCCTTGGGCCGCGTGACATGGCCAGGAAGGAACGGATACATAAAAGTCTCGAAGTTGGGTCGCCACCATTGCGCAAGTGTGTCGCTGATCTCCCAGTCATCGTTAACACCTTCGCCGGAGAACTGAGATCCCACAGGTGCGAGACGCTCATTCAGTCGTTTCTTGAAACCTTCAATCTCGTCATCCTCGGGTTGCAGATAATCGCCTGGCCTAAAGACTATTAGCAGTGAATTGTGAATATGCGCAAATAAACCATAGAGAACTCACAACTTAAAGAATGCATTGGCAATCTGCAGCATCAGCACATGGGGGTGGTTGTGCTCGTGGCACACCAGGATTCCCTCACACGTCCGTCGCATTCCATGGAGCCCATAGTGTTCCTCGAGGCGCTTCAGTCGTGCTAGAACCGAAGGGTCCTCTTCGGGTTGTGTCTCTTTGGTACCGAAGGTATAGTTCGACAGGGGGTACAAGCGGACAGTCTCCGGCTGCTGCGCGGTGAAGTCCTTAGGGACAATGGGCCTAGAAGTCATCGGGTCAGGCTGATCTATTCAAAAATTGCATTGTCAAATAAAGTATTTATCAAGAGTACTTACGGAAGCCCACTGACAGGAACATCCTCCGTGGTAGTAGCCATATTGACGGGTCGTTCGTTGTTATTGTGGTCAAGGACAGGCAGCTTTCCCCAAGCTCCCATGTTACTTATCGCTTATCGGGGTTTGCTGTCACTGTCCTCGGAAGAATAATATCCCGCAAGGGGGATGGATTATCCGGTCGTATATAAAACATAGTGAAGGATAAGGATACGGTTTTATATTTCACTATACTATACTACTACATGTAAGTGCGCAATTGGGTAACCTCAGGGTTGACTGCCTTCCTTGGTTTGATATCTGAACAGGACGATACAGGTGGACAAGGCTATCCGGGTACTATAACTGTTATACTATAACTGTTAGGGCAGAGAGTATAGTGCTGTAGAGGTGATATAAAACAAATGTCTTCTGATTGAGTAGATTGAGTATGCAAATTAGATATCTTCTCTAGGGCTGATTGAGTATATCTGTAACTTATATAATTTCTTCCAGTCTCCCGGGGCTAAAACCCGTTCTACAAAACAACTTGTCTGAACGTAATTCGTTTGATTATTGTCCGTCTCTGGAACTTCACTATATCTTCCAAATTGACAAACACCTCAACTCTCGAATTCATGCAACCGTCCCACCCAACACCAGACCTACTCCAAATGTATACCATTTATAGCTTGGCATCGAAATCCTCATACTCACTCAAATCAGTGACAGGAACAGGGCCAGTGCTGACAGGCAAACGTGCTTTGAAAGTCGGCACATCGGTGATGACGACGGCTTTTTGAGCCTCACCATTACCATTGGCCGCACCCTGAGTGTCACTGCTAGAGTCAAGACCCAGCTCCTTCAACTGCGAACTGAGCTTCTCATCCAGTGTCTCAAGGACAGGTTCAATCTTCTTCTGCGATAAGCCCGTCTCAGTCTCCAGGAAGTTCTTCATAGCAAAGATAACCTGGGACTTGTCCGCAGCCGTCGTGTCAACCTCATCGAGTGCCTTTGCGAAGCGGGCAGAATCCACGGTGAATTCAGCAGCTTCAAGGTGCTTGGTAACTACTTCGACAAGGCGTGTTCTCTGTTCGGCTGGTTTGGGCGCCTCAACTTGCGCGCCTGACTGAGCGTTCATGTGGATGGCGAGCTTAGCGCGCGTTGCCGAAGAGGGATCGATGTATTGCTGGTAAAATGCAATGAGATCCGCCTTAGTCAAAGCACGCACATTGGCCGCGTCGGTTTCGTGCTGCAGGAAATCAAAGTACTCAGATCCGACATGCGACCAGTACCGACCAGTCTCAGAGCTCAGGTTCTTGAGTTTCTCCAGGCGCTTGTTCACGACACTACGCTTGTGACCCTCAAATTCTTCTTCGGGCATCTTCTCGAGAATGGGGCCAAACTGACGGAGGAAAGTCTCAATGCGCGATTCGAGATACTGTGCCGTGCGCTCACTTTGGATGATGACCCGGTAGCCCAGGGTGGTGGCGTTGTATCGGGCGCCACTCCACACCACATATCCAAGCTGTTCCTTGCTGCGCAGCTGGTCGAATGCAGGTTCGTCAGTAAGCTGTGCGAACAGCTGAAGTTTCGACCGCAGGACGTCATCGGAGAAGAGTCCAATATAGAGGTAGTACTCGATGCAGTGATTGACGTTGGCCGGATCCTTAAGCGACCGGGGGTAGACATAGTTGGCACCGGGGGGCAAGGTCATGTTGCGGCGCAAGTACCACTGCGACGGAGGCAGAGGACGGCCTCCCAAGATCTTCTCAATAGAGTCCGTCATACGAAGGGCATCCTCCTTGTACAAGTTTCCGTGGGCCAGAACTTCAATGTGGGTCTGCTCAAGCAACTGGGGGAAGAAGTTGACCACATCATCGCACTCAACATGCTCCAGCTCCTCAAGGTACTGCTCGTTGACCCAGCTGCGCTCGGCAAGGAGGTAGCGAGTGTAATCTCCGACCTGGTAGTAAGGCTGTTGGTACTCGGCATTGCGGAATGCCCGCGTCAAGCGCTCTTTGATAATGTGGAACCGATCCTGGTTGACAACTAGCCCACGCATGGTATTGAGTACTTTGTCTAATAGAGCGGACATCTTGTCGTTGTACCCGCTCACGGAAATGTCCAATCCCAAAATGTTCGCTGAGAGATGGTAGTCCAAACCAGCAAGCTCTGCATCGTAGGAGTATTCATCCAGCGAATCTCGCACCAACTCGCTGTACAGCTTTGTTTTGATGAGATTGGCGGGTGTAGCCCACACCAAAGGGTTACGGAGCGTTACCTCAACAGTCGCTTTAGGCACCCAGAAACGGTCATCCTTCTTGAACCACAGGCGCACCCGGTCGTCATGGCGAATCAGTTTAGGAGTGTTTGTTGGCTCGGCAACCTCTTTCTTTTCTACCGAGAGCCTGGTCGGCACAAATTCGTTCTTGTGAGGCATGTGCACGTTGGAAGTACGGGTAGCCTCAGTAGACTCTAGAGCCTTCTGAAGACCGCCCAAGAACTCCTGTGGGATCTTCTCGACCTTGTATTCGGTACCATACCACTTCTCCTTCTGGTCCCATGTACCCGGGAACTCCTGGGACACAACGACCAGGCGGAAGTTGTCAGCCCGCAGATAGCTCAATGCCTTCTTGATCAGGTCAGAATCAAATCGTCGCAACAAAGACCCGCTCAGCAGCCATTCACTAGGCAATGACTTTTGCATAACGCTGCTCAATCGGCTGGTGAACCGACTAGCCGGGGTCTTCTGCTTGAACCGGAAATCGACCTCGGCAAGGTTTTTCATCTCGTCGAAGATCCATTGCTCGGGATCGCGTTGCTTGATCATAGCGATATACTCAAAGACAACGTTTGCGACTTCCTGGTATTGCTTCAGACCTTCGGGGGTCAGGCGCACCGAGATAGTGAAAAATGCCGACCCAGCGCAGACAGGCATGGCGCCTGCAGACAGGCCATTAGCCCACCCCTTAGCCTTGAGGTAAGAAAGAACACTGCCCGGGCCCTCATGGCCAATGAGATGGCTGATATACCGGCTAGGCTGGGTGTCGTGCAAATCCTCCTCATCAAGGAACGGGAAGTACATATCCATAGATCGAGTATCCATGACTGGCTTCACGAACACCTGAGTGCACATGTCCTTCTCAGTGAAGGGTTGGACATCGTCCCAGCGGTTCTGGGCAAGATTCTTGTTCTCAACATCAGAAAAGAGCTC